ATAAACGGCCCTGGTTTTCTTCTTTAAAATGATTTGATACTTTTTACTAAAAACCTCCTCTAGCTCACCCTTTTTTTAAAATTGTATGTTCTTTTAGCCCTTTGACTTTTTGCTCTCGGTTGTTTTTGTTTGTAAGAAGCCATCTGATCTGCTTTAAAATGTAGGGTGGACAAAGCTGCAATTAAATTAAAAATAGTGAATGATATGTGCACAATAATTATTCGAAAACCTAAGTCTTTAATTTCAGTTTAGGCTCTGTCCTTTTACTTATTCTAACGATTATTTTGTGTAAACAGTAAACAGTTTTGTGGCTTGTCTTTCAAAAACTCAAATTACCGATTTTATAAAAACTCCAACGCAGGTGTATAGTCCAAAAATAAAAATATAAACTCCACTAAATATTAATAAAATATTAGATTTTTAAAAAACTAATGTACGAACCGCAGAAGAATTTTTTCTCTCAACTCGATTTTGCATTCCGTGATGTTACAGCCTTCCATAGCAAAGGACGACGAGGACACCGTGGTGTCTACGAACCGTGATGTGGATACGCCATTGATAAGGCAACGTAAGGATACGTCATATGTATTGTTTTTGATATACAAAAGTGGGACCGGTAGGCGTAGCTTTTGCACTCACTAAAATGGCGGAAGAGCAGAACCGAATTTACAAGTTTTTATTGTTCTATTTCTGGTTAAATATCATTATTTGAACTATAAAAAAATAAATTTTACTTTTTATTGACATTGACTTAAAAGGTAGTGGAAGGCCGAGGTTATAAAAGAAAAGGGTTTAAAAGCTTAAATATGCCCGGTTTTCAGCCGAAAGGTGCTGAATAAAGTAAATGAAAGAAATAAAATATAACTGATTTAATTATCACTCAAGTGGCTATTAAGCGCTGGAGAATATATTATTTGCAAAATTGCAACTAATCAATGACCATGATATAAGTTTAAAATGACATTTTTAGATAAAATGTAATTTTAATCCTCAATTAATAGTTTAAACTTTAACAAACTGGTGGAATTAAACCTAAAGCGTTAAAATCATTCACAGAAAAAATAAATAGTACATTTTTGGTTCACATAAGCGACAAAAGTAAACAGAGTTCGATTTATTGGATCAGTCGTCACACGTTTGCACTAGGGCACATAAATAGCCCAATATTTAGTTTTTTGTTTTTCAATGAGCCCAATGCTTCTGTCTTTAAATCGGAAAGTACAAGGTCGCAAATGTCAAGTAATCTAACCTTACTTTAACAGCTTTCTCGAAATTAAGAACAAATGTTCATACACTAAAAGCTCGATGATCAGATACGAAACTTAATGCAAGGCTCGCGGAAAATGGCTAATAAGCAATCTCTGTGTAGGTAGATGCACTATTCAGGAAATCAAAATGTGAATTAATCTTACTTGGTCTTGGTACTTTTGTAGATTCAGACTGAATGGTGTATATCTTCATGCAAGACATACAGTAAATTAGCGAAGCCATGCTTATATTGATAGCACTCCTGGTATTATTACTAAATAAACAGGTCAATAACATTTTAATATCAACAAAATTAATTATAATTATGAATTTATAATGTTTAAATGTTAAAGTGTTTTAAAAACTATTTTTTAACTGACTTTATTAGTGTTCAAATTCGTACTACAGAAAATACTTTTTTATTTTTGAATGGAGGTATATTATTTATGTTTGGGCCAGAGCCCATTAAAACAATACAATAATACATATTACAGTTATTAAATAATAATAAAATCCTAAATAATAATAGGTAAATTAATTAAAAATATGTACATATTAATTATTAATAATAATTAATGAAACATCTAAACATAACTACTAAATTCTGTGGGAGAGATATGTTAAGTCGCTTAGCAGATATTATTCTAGGAATAAAAGAATGAGAAGCACCATCTTAATGCATTGTTCGATATTAATTTATTCTTGACGACTTTCCAATACAGCACAAACACATTTCGAAAATATTTCAAAAATATTACATTGAAACATTTTAGAAATGTGCCTGAAACGAAAAAATATCCTGTAAATATAATATTTCACAGTAATATTTCTGAAATAAAAATTAGAAATCTTTTAGAGATATTAAATAGTAATATTTCAGAAATTCTAGCTTTTTTAAATATTATTAGACTAAAAAAAGACATATAAATATACATGTCTATTTAAAATACACAAAATTCAAACATTGATTCTTAAAACAAACAAATAAATAATTTTTAAACATTATTTCATAAAATATAAAGGCGAATCACTTCATTTCCAAGTCCTTTAAATGCACTAATTTGAAACAGTTTTTTTTTAAAATGCCCCAAGTAAAGAAACATTTACGATTATTACGACCTAATCATTAAGATAAATTAGAAATTTTATTCTAACTTATCAAGGGATGAAAAAATTCACAAACCGATATTCTACTCTCTAATATACCTTAGAGTCTAAATCACTTAACTGCACTATACTCTGCTTTAACATCACTGAACTAACTCAAAAGGCTTAATTCTCTTGAGTCTTATTAGATTGGCATTGTTGAGGAGCTGGATAATCTCGAGGTTTCCATGTAGGAGCAGTCGTTGGTGACTACTGGCAAATGTTTGTATTGTATTTTCAACAGTCTCCACTTTAAGGTTCCTATGAAGGTCAGTATTGTGGCAGTACCATGTTCCTTAATACTTTATTCTGGAAACGTTGAATAACTTCGATGTCACTTTTACTGGCACATCCCCAAAGCTGGCGAATCACTTCATTTTCACCAATTCCTTTAAACGCACTAATCTGAAACAAATTATAGGTAAGTAAAAAGGTATATTAATATTGTTTTAAATTAACTATAATAAAACAACCAATACTCAAGCATACACAAAACATGAAGCTCTACTTTTCAATCAGCTGTTGAACTAATAAATAAAATTGGTGGAAGGACCGCAAATGTAGGTTATATTTAAATAGAAATAAGAATATAAAATGCCTATAAATCTGATACACGAAATAGCGTACTATTAATGTACTTCTCAAGAAAATGCTTGGAACATATACAACTGAATTTAGAAGGTTCCCAATTATGCTTCTTGACAAACTGTATTCACGCGCTACGTTTTTCAGGATTTTTTGGAAATATATAAATATTATTTCGTATGAAAAAGTATTTATTCCAATATAGGTGGGCCCAAAAGTTGATAGATGATTTTTTTTGTATTTTTAAAAGCATACTTTTACACATTTTATACAAACCTGTCATAATACTGTCCTGTATAATATTTATAATTTTGATTCTAACCTATGAAACGTTATTCCAGTCAATTTTTCACAAAAACGTCTATCGCTGGAGCAGGAACGTATAACACAGCAATGCATTATATACTTTATAAGTTTTTAACACTCAAAATTTGCTCAAACACAAATTAAATTCAAATTTAATTACACAAATGACACTAAAAATATAACCTATAAAATTTGACAACTTGCACTCACAGTAATGGCGGACCGGTCCCACTTTTCGTTTACGCATGTCGTATCCCTAGGTTGCCAGATCAATGGGATACGCATATTTCAAGCCCATAATTTTTTTATAATTGTCAAAACTTTGACATTTAATTACTCAATATTTTTTTTTGGGTTGACTCAGTTGTGATTTCTTACCTGCAACATGGAGTTTAAGAAATTAAAAGTGCATTAATCAAGTAGGTTTTTTGAAAGATATTATATTGACAGTTCTAGGAATGTCAAAAGTTGCAATTTATTAGTAACTATTTTTCCTAGTTTTTATTTACGAGAAATGTCTAGTAGCGATATTAAAATATCTTCTACACCTCCAGAAATTTCTGAAGAAGCAAAAGTTATTTGTGATACTTTTTGCCCCAGAAGTCGAAATGAATCTATGAAAAATTATACGGGTAGTTTTTAGATTGGAGAATATTAAAAGAAATATCCTCATTCTCAGAAAATGTTTTTTTAGTTTACTTCGGAGAACTAGCAAATAAATTTAAATATTCATCGCTGTGGATACATTATTCCATTCTTAAAACCTCACAAAACATCAAATTATAAAAAATATGCAAAATTACAGGCATTTTTAAAACGTAAATCCGAAGGTTACAATGGAAAAAAAATCTAAAACATTTTCTACAAATGAAATTAAAAACTTTGTGTAGTTTTTGAACAGAAATGTAAAAGATTTTAACTTTACTTATAAGAAGAAAGTGGTTATCCGTTTCAGAATAACTTTGTATATAAAAATTACGATTGATTAAACAGTTCTTTACTTACTGTATTAGTAGTTATTTATGCAACAACGAGTTGCATACAATATTTTTTCTACGTTCATGTTAACGCCAAAAGAATTATTATTCGGCTAATGTTTTGTTACAGGTAGCGTTAATTATGGGAGTTATGGGAGCGTGCCGAAGACACGAGCTACATGACTTAAAATTTGAGAACGTTAAAGATTTGAAAGAAACTCTTATTATTAACATACCTGATATAAATCAAAAACGCCAAGAACTTTTACTATGATTGGCAAATATTATATTTGAAAAAATATATGAATTTACGACCAAAAGTTTGCAATACACCATCCTTTTTTTATTAATTACAAAAACGGCCAATGTTCAGTACAAAACATTGGAATTAATAAATTTGTTAATTTGGGTAAACAAATCTTCCTAGCCCAAACCTATATACTGGACACTGCTTTCGTAAGAGTTCTGTTACAATATTAGTGGATGCTGGTGGCAATATAACTACACTAAAAAAAGCATGGTGGATGGACATATATATGTTAATTATTATGCAATTCATTAATGCTCAGACATAGAAGGTGGCTGAATGACAAATGTCTATGCAAAAAAATATGGAATATTTTTCATCTAAATTTATACGTTTTAATTCTAATTATAATATTTAATTAAAGAAAACCCTTTTAGAAACATTCTAGTTATTCCAGTCCTAGAAAAAAAATCAAAATCAAATTATTTTTTCTCTTGGGTTCTTACCTAAATAAAAACAATAATTGTGAAGTTAACATTTAATTCTTTAAACTTACAACAATGTGCAATTATTTTCTTCTGACTGTATACAAAATACAAATATGTTTATCGTTCGCAATCTCTAATTTTTTGTTTGAAACATTTAACCTACCTCTAAAAATGTAACCAATGATTTAATTCTCTTAATTTCTAGTAATAGACTTTAAATCTTAAACAACAAAAAAGAAAAATATAATTTTATAAAAAATCTCCTTAGGAATTGCCGCTCCCCTTATTTGTGAAACTTATCACTGATCGCAGTTTCTTTCTGATTTTTGGAGACGTCCATTTGCTGGAAGCGCCATTTACAATGTTCGTGGTCGATGGTAAACCTTCATCTACGTCATCGGCTTCAGTCTTGATTTCCATTTTCTAGAATACCATACAGATTTAAATAATTAGAAAGTTATCTTCAAGGTTTCTATCAAATTAGGCATGCAAACGACTTGTCAAAATAGGAATAGAAGAAGAATATGAAGAAGGACTAATGAAATTATAGGTTAGGTATGTATAATTATCCCTTTATAATTTGCCCAAGTCGGCCAGCAGTATTACACTTCCGGTCTCCGTGGAGGAAATGATTTTTAGTATTAAAAATATAGCCTATATCCTATCCAGTAAAATAATACAGATCAGTGTTATAGACAGGATATGATATGGCAACCCTGTGGGCTGAGACCATCGAGATAGAATAAGAGACACACTTTAAATTCTTTAAAGTGTGGTAGAGACGACATAAACACTATTTTGCGATATGACAGATAGAAGAAGCACTTCGAGTGGCGGAAAAGTGTAATGAAAATGGCGACTTAAGTAGCACTTGAGCATAGAATAAAGCATCTAAGGATTATCGACTCAAGTTGCTACGTCCATATTCCAAGTTGAACTAAAAAGATAATGGATACATTTCTTACTATTATGTCGAAACTACTGGCAACATTGTAATGAAATTTTGTACGAATATGTTTTAGGTGCTGATATGGCATAAATGTTTTATATCTGCCTCTCACAGAGGGCGCTAGTTTTTTTTTAATACCCTGTATTTTGAAAATGGATGATGCTGTTAAAAAAACTTTTTACTGAGCAAACTCAATTTATTTTGCAGTGTTCTATATATCGTAGCAACGGGGCCACCTTTTTTTAAACACCCTGTATAAGTAGTTATATTATTACAGTACGTTTACACCGAAGCGGTTAATAACATCAGAAATTCAATAAATTTATCTTAAAATATCTCATATCGAATGTTTGTACTGAAAACTAAAGTTATTGTTTATTTTTTTTTATTATACAATTCTTTTGACCAAAATTTACATTTTATGGATTTCGAAAGTTATGTATTAACAATTATTTTATGCAATAAAATACAAAACAACAAGGAAAAAATTACCTAACAGCGAACTTTAACTTACCGCAAACAAAAGTTCTATACTATAAGGGAAAAATAAAATGTTGAAACGATAATGGACTATAACAACGCATAGAAATTTTTAATCTTATATACGTCGAAACAATTAATAATGGGTCTTAATTTTAACAAGAAAACATTGATTTATCCTTTTAATTAAGCATTTAGAAGAAAATTGGGATTGAAAAAGCATTTTTGGAAAAATATTCGGCCTAAATTCACCCTATAGAATAACTACACATTGTTATAATGGTGCCAAATATTTTTAAATAATTTGTGTTTTCTTTTAATGCGTAAATTACGTCAGTGGTTTGTATTTTTGTTCTAACAGTTAAGTCTTATCTGATGTTTATTTCTGGACGCAGTTCGTGCAAACGACCTAGGGTCCCAAACACTGAAGACAACACGCCGCAGGAAAACTAGAGAAGGTTGGCCTAGAGGGGACAGCTTCGACCCGAAACCATTCCAAAGACCCTCTCTTTAAAATGTCGCGATGATAGTGTATACGTAGACGACGAAGTAAATGGTAAAAGTTATACATTGTTGGTTGATACTGTAGTAACTAGGACCAGTATACGACCAACAACCATAAATAACCGTAAGAAGCTTCTATCAACAAGATTGCGACTGCGCACTGCCACAGGTGAAAGTGCCAACATCCATGGGGAAATCCAGGTTCAATTGGGAATTGGCACAGAAAAGTTCACTAACACTATTATGGAATATGTTTACGATGGGATTTGATAATTTCAAAAGGATTTAGATTTTTGAGGATATAATAAAATGAAAGTTAAATTGTTCCTTGTAAGACCTTTAATATTTGTCACACACATGAGTAAAAATACAAATAGATTATGTTATTTTAACAATATATCACATCTTCTGTAGTCGTTGAGAACCCAGCGCCTATAAGAATTAAAAGAAACAAGTAAATATTGTAACTTATCAATTTGAATAATGTGTTTCATTTCATTTAACTGACTAGGTGAGGTAATTGAATTGTCAAATATTATGAACACCAGTACTTACATGGTTATATCACACTATATATTCATTTTCCAACTAGATACTACCTCATATTTATAAATAATAATAATGTCCCATATAGTTCCACATATCTAAGAGAATCAAAAGATAACTTTAACTTTACTACAGAGATGTAAAAGTCCCTTTTGCGTCGTGTGTTAAATGAATGAAAATAATTTTTAACCAAAAAAAAACCATTTTTGTTTTAATAACAAAGGCTTAGGATAAAACCCCCAATTGTTGGCACTGCACCAGTTATTGTTACTCTTTTCTAATTTGAGCAGTTATCCCATATTCACTAAACAAAAAAGGTACGCGATATTAATAAAAATGTACAATGAATCAAAGATCAAAAACGGTCGTACGTAAATTTTCTTGTTCTTTAGATAATGATGAAGTACGGAGTACGATAAATAATGAATAATACACATCTCTGTATGTTGGTTATTAATATTATCAACCAATATACATTAGTTTATGACATTATACATTAAATCAGCATGGATCTATGATTGCCGGTAATTAATATTATGTATGATAGACATTACTATTTTTCTGTTTTTCTTTATGTATTTTTATATAGTTTGATGCATTTTCTGTATTTTTTGTATTTTTCTGTATTTTTCTGTATTTTTTTGTATTTTTCTGTATTTTTCTGTATTTTTCTGTATTTTTCTGTATTTTTCTGTATTTTTCTGTATTTTTCTGTATTTTTTTGTATTTTTCTGTATTTTTCTGTATTTTTCTGTATTTTTCTGTATTTTTCTGTATTTTTCTGTATTTTTCTGTATTTTTCTGTATTTTTCTGTATTTTTCTGTATTTTTCTGTATTTTTCTGTATTTTTCTGTATTTCTCTGAATTTTTCTGTATTTTTCTGTATTTTTCTGTATTTTTCTGTATTTTTCTGTATTTTTCTGTATTTTTCTGTATTTTTCTGTATTTTTCTGTATTTTTTTGTATTTTTTTGTATTTTTTTGTATTTTTTTTTGTATTTTTTTGTATTTTTTTGTATTTTTCTGTATTTTTCTGTATTTTTCTGTATTTTTCTCTATTTTTCCGTATTTTTCCGTATTTTTCTGTATTTTTCTGTATTTTTCCGTATTTTTCCGTATTTTTCTGTATTTTTCTATATTTTTCTATATTTTTCTATATTTTTCTATATTTTTCTATATTTTTCTATATTTTTCTATATTTTTCTATATTTTTCTATATTTTTCTATATTTTTCTATATTTTTCTATATTTTTCTATATTTTTCTATATTTTTCTATATTTTTCTATATTTTTCTATATTTTTCTATATTTTTTGTATTTTTCTGTATTTTTCTGTATTTTTCTGTATTTTTCTGTATTTTTCTGTATTTTTCTGTATTTTTCTGTATTTTTCTGTATTTTTCTGTATTTTTCTGTATTTTTCTGTATTTTTCTGTATTTTTCTGTATTTTTCTGTATTTTTCTGTATTTTTCTGTATTTTTCTGTATTTTTCTGAATTTTTCTGTATTTTTTTGTATTTTTTTGTATTTTTTTGTATTTTTTTGTATTTTTTTGTATTTTTTTGTATTTTTTTGTATTTTTTTGTATTTTTTTGTATTTTTTTGTATTTTTTTGTATTTTTTTGTATTTTTTTTGTATTTTTTTGTATTTTTTTGTATTTTTTTGTATTTTTTTGTATTTTTTTGTATTTTTTTGTATTTTATTTGTTTACAAGGTTTATAAACACATAAAAACGCCTATAAAAGCTAAAACCACCATTCGCCATTATGATTCTTTAGTGCCAATAAGTATTTGGAGAATGCCAACTAATAAGTTTGTAGTGTCAATAACTTTTTTTTTATTTTCAATATTGCGTTCTTATTTTTTTTTTTAAATTGGGCGAATTTTATTACTACAACTATTAAGAAACATTCTACAAAAATATTATCGAATAATATTAAATAGATTTTTCTACTATCACCAGTCAAAGTAGGCTTTTGCGCTTCGAAATTCAACTGCAAAGATGACGTTTTCCGCGAAATGACAGTAATTGACATCCTTGTCGCTGACCGAGCGACAAAATTGACAGCTTTGATACTTGCTTAATTTAAATTATGTATAATATAATATTTCTTTTTAATAAATGATTTTTGAGTTATTTCTACGTTGTTACAGGTTTTTTGTTATATTATCAAGTTGACATGTTTATGATGAATGTATATATAGGCAACACATTATTTCTAAAAAAAGTGTTATCGCCGCGCGTCGAGCGGGCCACCTTCTGTCTCAATTATCACTTTTCTTTCCTAATACACAAATGGCTATTAAAAGCATTAAAAATTTAAATGTTTGATTATTTTACGATACATGTTCTTAAAGTGCCAATAACTGGAGGTTTCACCCTATATCTCAAACACATACAGTGAAGGTATGGTCATAATATTACAGCTAGTAAAAACGTGGCAATATTGTAGCTAGTAAACATATGGATGTAGGTATATAGCCAAGTTTTTTTTATGACAACTCTGAATTTTATTTAAATATGGATTTATATAATGTTATGGTTTTCAATTTTTAGTTTTCATAAAAACAATTTCGAAATATTATGTTGTAAAGAAATTATTCAAAACAGTCAACTGTACAAAATCGACTAGTAGTTATTTTTCGATAGACATTCGAAAAAAATCGATTTACTTTCAATCTATTTTTTCAATACAACAGAAACCGTAAAAATTACCGCAAAAGCATCCCTACCAAATCACTTGAAATTATTTTTTATTTTCTATTTTATATTTTTTTATTTGATCATATTAAAGCTGTTGTTTCCATATATTCGATTAAATTAAATCTTTTGTTTCCAACGCTTTCTTGTAATACAAATGTATTAACGGTATATAATTATTAGATACTTATAATATACAGAGTGTTTCATAATTATTTTCGAATATTTAAATTAATCGATTTTTTTTTAATAAAATTTTGCAATTTGAGTTCTCTCTCTCTCTCGAGATATTTAGGTCTCAAAATGGACTGTGACATGGGCCTTAAAGTTTTTGTCTTTTACTTTATTTTTATTTTTAAATTGGTCATTTGAGAATTGAAACTTATTTCCGTTGTTTTAAAATACGTATGAAAGAGGTGCAATTTACAATACAATGAAAGTTTTTTTTGCAACACAAGCACTATTTTAAATTACAGCCGCCTAATACGTTTTGCAGTAACTGATGAAGAAAATTTTATATTAAAACAAAATTTTTTCGAACGTCCGTACTGTTGAGTGTACGAGAAAATTATAAGAGTAAAAAAAGTTTCTAAATTACGTGTAGTATTGAAAAAAAGTTTTGTTGGAATTTGATTTAAAAGAAAAAAGTTCTGAAAGATAAAAAAATAAGCTAATCTCTGCCTTTCAGAAATATGAACTGAAAGAAGAGACATCATCACAAAATAGGGTTCAACTAGCGGATAAAATTTCTAAATCAAATTGTTTTCAACAAAAAATATTTTTTTGCAATTCTGAAAATGAAATGTTCCGACAGGAGGGAGCCAAATTTATAAATTTTATAAGATAACTCTTAAATAGTTGGTAGAACGTAGAACACCCTGTTAAAACATCATTACATTATATTATAATCAAAAATAGAAGTATTTAAGACCTTACTTTGATACTGAAGGATTGGGCAGTAAATATGAGAAAAAAAGATTACACCGACTTAAAGAATGTACAGTCAACCCATTTTGGAATGCACACTCAAGACTTTAAGGACTGTAACTAGTAAGTTCCTTTTTATTAAATGAGTTAAAATATGCCATACATTTTCTGACCGAATACCCCTCATCCAGTGATAAATAACTCATAATTTTAATTCAAATAATTGAAAAAAAAAATATTTCGAATTATCACAATATTAGTACTGATAATTATATTTCCTTTGTTGATACTCCGATAAAGAAAAAGTTACATAGTTTTATTAATTTATTTAACGTCGGTATATTTCTTGCCATACCATGTTTCCGAATCCTCTGGTATTCCAACCAGAGGTAGGGATCTTTAAGGAACCCAACATCCATGGACTCGAGAACGATATTATGTTATATTGGGAATGGTGAGTTAATACACTGCGACCTAAAAGATCTATTGTACCCCCTTCTGTCGCTTATGCACCAAGGAAATGTCTCAATGCCTATAACGACCCTTCCAATCCTATCTTCTCAAGGGAGTGTAGGATTTGGAGTGGCTTCAAATTAGATAAATCTCCCTCTTATATTTGATGTGCTCCTAGGTATAGTGCCCTTGTATTCTGGAGTGCTACACATTCAGTCAGAATGTGAATGGATGTTTCGTCCTCCTCCTGCACTCACTATCTTCTATTACTCTAGTTTATAGCACAAGTAGAAGTTGGAAAAGCTTTTGACAGGTTTGCCGCGGATCTCAGCGAAGTAGACGTGATACATTGACGTACAAAATTATTTTATAGATGTTAATAACAATTTCGAGTAAATAGTTTAAGAAATTGTGAATAGCTGTAGAAATTTTGTAAAATTTAATTTGAATATTATAATACATGTTTAATAATTATTTATAGTCCATAAATACATGCGATTGTCCAGTTCCGCCGGTAACAATTTAAAATTACTTATTCTATGAAGCGACACTGGCAGGTAAACATTACTGCGAAATTCTCGAAGCCGTCCGACGTGGTTTGACGTTTACCCCCTCTCTACCTACCAAAAGCCTTTCTAACTTCTACTAGCGTTATACTAAGGTGTCCTTTAAGTCGGCAATACCCAGTAAGGATCCATGTTACAATACATAGCCTGTTCTTGTTTAGGCAGATGCAGACCTTCGATCTTTTTTGGTTATATCCGATACCGATAGTTTTAGATCTTCTCTGAAAGATGGCACACCTCATATTATACCTTGTACTCATTGATATAGTACCTGCCAAGTGTGGTATTCAACTACGCGGGCAGTTTGTTAAGGCTTAGGTACACCAACTTTCCTTGAATAGTCACACATCTAAGTACTAATAGAGGGGGACCTTGCTTGACTGCAGATATCGATACACATTAATAAACCTGCTAAGCCGAACAGCTGCCAAAACGATACCTTGTTACAGTTGTCACCGAATTCTTAGATATTTTGTCCTCTTTCTCTTTGTGTAAAAAAGTATACGGGGTTTAATTAAAAGTTATCAGACATTCCTCCGTCGATGTTTAGTCTGTGAGAAAGAGTAAAGAACTTCAAACTACAACTATTATATTTTTCACATGAATAATATTTAGCTATATTAATTACATATTCATCAGTCAAATTATCAAAAAAAAACTCTTGTATTACTAAGCATAGGCGCGGATCTGGGAAGATGTTTCTGGAGGGGGGGGGGGGTAAATAATTTTATTCGTCGCCGTCATCTTGTTTTTACTTCCTCGTAAAATCTCAAAGTTGCAGTTTAATAAATTCCAGGATAGGGTGGGTTTCATTGAGCAGCTTTTAGTTACTTTATTACTCCCCTTGCATCTGCGCCTGGCTAAACATGAGCAATATACAGGGGCGATATCGTGCAAGGTGTCATGGCGGCGCTGACGTCATGCGTAGAGCTAGTAGAGTTGGCGCGAAATAAATATCATATGTCAGACGCAAGTTGAAGTAGTTTGTGAGTCTCTATAGTGATTTATAATATTTTAAGCAGATATTGGTATTTTATTATGTTGTAAACTTAGTTCTTTGTGAGTGATATTAGTGGAAAACATTAAAAAAATGCGGTACGCAATTTACGGATGTAACAGTAACAATCAAGGCAAAGGATTCAAAAAAAGACATTATGTTTTTTCGCTTTCCTCGATAGTAAGGGCTTAGTCAGAACTGAGCAATGGCCCAAAGGCGGTTTCAGGGGGTCCTGTTTGCTCCTAGATTAAAATTCATACAACCCATAAGCCTTTTATTAAAAAAATATGCTAAAAAGGAAATTATTGTATTATCTCCCTTCCTACATGAAGCCGCCCTTGCGGTGGCTTGTGACCGTGCAGATAAATTTAAAACAGAAAATCGTCATGTGTATTCCAAGTACTTTCAACCTTCCAATTATAAGAGGCTCCCCAAAGCAGAACTTCATATTGGTTCAGTCGTAACTCGGGACTTCTTAACTGGTGACTCTACTCTTTGAAGGATGCAAATTTGGCAATATAGGTAAGTAAAAGAGAAATTGTAAATGTGGCAAAAAAAAGAAAATTTCGACTTGTACTTGATGAATGAAATAAAAATACAGTGGCATTTTATTTCAATTTTGTATATTCACCTATTATGTAGCAGTTATTTGTATTTGGAACATCATTTTTATACAATATATTATAAGAATGAAAAATATTTTTTTAAAACCTATTTTTTTTATCATCTTATTTGTACACAAATCCCAAAGTAGTAAAGTAAATTCAATTGAGTAATATAATGCAGCCAAATGAGTCACCAGTTGCGAAGCCTAATCAAGTAAAAATTTTCGGCATACCCAAATGCGAAATTTTTACCCATGGTCGAGAAGTTGAGAAGTTACGAGTTGCGAAGATACCCTTCTCGTTAACCTGATTATAGAAAATAAATCATTAAAAGGAAAAAATCTGTTACTTAAAATAAATATTTCTTCTATGTTTGTATTTGCATTTATTTCCTTCATAGTTCTTTCCTTAACTATCCCATAATAATATCCTTAGATGTTTTACGTAATTTTTAAAATATTTGCCTTATTCATGAAATTTCTGTAAATAGAATGTATTTTCCTTACACTTAGTCAGTATTTTTAAATTTGCGCGTATACAATCTTTACGCGTGACGTCATGCGCAGTGCCGTCCTGTTTTTGATACTGTTGATAACCTACCTTTTATTTATCATAGAACGGTTGTCTTAGAAACTTGAAAATAATATCAAACTTTTTTCAGTGCCTCTTTTACTCAATACCATGTATATGTGTGTTACTTTTTACTAGCCGTTTTTGTAAATATTTTTAATTTCCTCTGGTAATATAATGATTAATTTTTGAAACGCTATTTTGAAAAAACCTTGGAAATATCTATCGAAAACCATAACATTTACGTTTAGATCGTAGAGGATATTCAACTGCTACTGTAGCCATTTTTATAAGAAAATACAAATACTCAAAATCAAGTATCACACAAAATTTTAAGTATTCTTTTATTTTCGTTGTATTATGTATTTAGTCCAAAAATTAAACAAAATAGAGATTGTCATTAAACAAAAATACCTAGGAGCCTGTATCCAAAACTGTAATTATCAGTACAAATATTTATCAACTGTTTCGGTGTAAATATAAAAATATACAGGGTGATTCTTAACATATACACATAAATTTGGGGGATGATAACTGAGGACAAATAATGAAGGTTTAATAAAATATTTTTAGTTTCGGGAATAACAATTTATTTCAAAAATTATCTAAATTTCCTAAAATTGAAGATAAATTAAATTTATCACAGTAACTGCTCGAAGTTTTTTCCATAAATATTGTGATAGATTTCATTTATTTTTATTTTAAATTCAGATTCTTTTTGAAATAAATTGTTATCTCCGAAACAAAATATTTTATTAAATTTTTTTTTCACTATTATTATTAGTATATCAAGACTTTCTGGCGTATAAGTCATAAAAATAGATAGGAAAATTTTTTTCAAAAGTATATCTAATATACTTAAAGAAAAGATATAGTGCAGTCTAGTAAAATACCAAGTGAAAAATACCTGCACGATTAGGCGTAGAAATTGTTGCTGGGTCTCCAAAGCACTTGAAATTTCTCTTAATTTCCTCTTGTTTTTTTCTAATTCAGCTAAAATGTAATCTTCTGTGTTTTCCAATGCCATCTCTACAGCTGCAAAGGAATAAAATATAGTTCCACAAGACAAGGAATTAAAAGAAACTAAAATATTATTTATTAAGTAATTAACAAAAAAAAAACAAAAAATACACTGTTTGTAGTCTTCAGCAACTATTAAAAACTTTCATCAGTAAATTTGAAAAGAGAGAAATAGATACATGTTTAGGGAATATTAGGCAATGCAAAGGAAATGTTTTACCGTGTAGTGAAAGAAAGGAGAAATGACTGTAATAGGGTTACTTACTGTGGGATGTGTGTGCAAAAGCAAATGTTAAACCAATAAAAGTTAATATTTGTAGCTTCAGGCGTAAAGGATATGAGACTGCAAGAGAGCAAATTGAAGAAATATCAAAAAGAATAGATAAAAGATTAGAAAGCTTTGATAGAGATTTATGCTTGATATATTTTGTATTCTTCATCATTAATCAATTATAAACTTTTAAAAGGCTCCACTCCATCTATACATTCAGATACTTCAATAAACAATTTTTTTTTAATTATTTTATTCAATGCTAATTTACAATCTACTTCAATAAAGTAATAAGTACATTTGATGGAAGTGGGTGGCTTGAGGCAGGTGTCGTCCTCTGAAGACTCTCTGGAATTCACCTAGTAGCTAGGTCTTTTGGCCAAAGTCTTTTTAAGCGTCTATGGATGAGTGGAGGGTTAAAGAATTCGACTATGCGGTGGTTTGGATGGTTTTCACTGCGATTTATATATTTTCTGGAGTGGTAAGTAATCGCATCATCTATGAATGGAATCTTGAGGTCTGCATAAAGGGTTTGGTTGGAAACGTACCATGGGGCGTTAGCTAACATTCAAATAGTCTTGGACTGGAACGTCTGTAGTATTTTAGTGTTAGATGGTTTGCTGCAGCCCCACAGCTCGATTCCGTATATCTAGACTGTTTGAGTATTGTTTTATAGATGACCATTTTGTTTTCTAATGAAAGTTTAGATCTTCTGTTGATACCAGCTCATATTTTTATCTTTTAGGTCAAGGTGCCGTAGTTTAGCTTTAATATGTGATTTCCAAGTAAGTTTTTCGTCTAAATGAAGTATTTATTGGTATAGGCGTATTATTTAAGTATAGTTGGATTTGTTGGTGTTGAATTTAATTTTCCAGTGACTAAGCCAATTTTCTAGTTCGTTGAGGTGGTTTTGCAGTTTGTTGAATGCTCTTATTTCATCTGTGTCTAATGCTAGTATAGCAATGTCATCCGCAAATATTGCCATTCATGTATGATCACTGATGGGTATGTCAGCAGTGAAAATTAAGTACAAGAACGGGCCGATTACACTGCCTTGAGGTATTCCGGATTTTAGTTGATGGTAGTTGGATAACGTTTCTTCATATTTAACTTGGAAGTATCTGTCAGACAAATATGATTTCAGGAGGAGGTATGATTGGTCAGGTAGATGGGTTCTGATTTTAACGAGGATACCCTCATGTCACACTTTATCGAATGCTTGCTGTATATCTAGGAATGCTGATGTACAGATTCGTTTTTCTTCTAAGCTCTCTTTTATTCTGTTGACTAACATGTGGCACTGTTGTGTGATTGAGTGACTTGAGCGAAATCCAAACTGGTGATCTGGGATTAGATTTTCTAGAGGTATTGGTATTTCTATTCTGTTGAGAATAAGCCTTTCAAAGACTTTTGATAAAGTTGGAAGGAGACTTATTGGTCGGTACAAACTAGTTGGTGATTTACCAGGTTTAGGTATCATTATAGTTTGTGCGTACTTCCATTGCACTGGAAAATAGCATAGCCTAAGGAGGCTATTGAAAATGATAGTTATTAGGACGATACCTTTTCTTGGGAGATTTTTTAAGATTTCGCCAGTTATAAGGTCAAATCCGGGAGCTTTGTGTGGGTTGAGAAGCCTGATTTCATTGCGGACTTCACTCGATGAGAAGTATTTCAGTGGTAGTGACAACTGACAGGGGGCATTAAGGAAGGCTCGAGTTTCATCGTCATTGATATCGTTAGGCTGTGGGGCGGAGAAAACAGTTGATAAATGTTCTGCGAATCTATTGGATTTTTCTGGATCAGACCGAGCCCAAGTTCCGTCGATTTTTTTAATTGTAGATTTGGCTACTGTTGGTTTCTTGAATTTTTTTGTGGTTTTCCAAAGGGAGTGGTCGTCAAGAGATAGGTTGGTAACATATTTTTCAAACGATTCGTTTTTGGCAGTTTGGATAGTACAGCGAAGTCTGCGTGTGAGTCTGTTTAGATTTGCCATTTACGACGGGTTCTTCTTCTATCTTCCATTAGTGTTCTAATGTGGTAAGGTATACTGCATCTTTCTTCAATTATTTTTTCATTTACAGGAGTAGCTTCCCAAGCGGCGCTTTGAATTTGTTCTGTTAGGTATTTTACAGCTTCTTCAATGTCATTTTTGTCTTGGAGTCGTATGTCTAGAGATATTTTTTAATTGATTTTATCATGAAACTGATTCCAATTTGTGTTTCTGGAGCAGAGCTTCGGTGCAGGTGTTTTCCAAATTATACTAGTACTTAAGGTTATTATGATAGGACTGTGATCCGAGTGTAAATCGAAACTGGGAGTGATGTTGCTGTGTATTTCAGATATACCTTTAGTTATGGCGAAGTCTAGTAAGTCAGGAATTTTATTGTTATCAATAGGCCAGTATGTGTTGATAAGTATTTTTGGTTGTTTTCTTGAATGATTTTTAGTAGAGTTCTGCCTTTTGGGATTATGAGTCTTGCTCCCCAGGTTGTGTGTTTGGCGTTCCAGTCGCCTGCTGCTAGGAAATGAGATTCAAGTTGTCCAAAGAACTCTCTGTATTCCTCAAGATTGATGGAGTGGCGTGGCGAGCTGTAGATCGAAGCTATTGTTAATGGACTAGTGAGCACATTCACTTTTATAATAGTGCTCTGAATTTTGTTGGTAATATATTGTGGAAGTTCATAGTGTTTTATAGCTGTTAGAATTATTATAGCTGAGCCAGCATGGGCTGTTCTATCCGGATGGTTAGCGTAGTAAACAGAGTAATACGGGATTTTAATGAAAGACCTCTCGGTTGTGTGACTCTCAGAGATAAATAGGATGTCTATTTTGTTTAGTTTTAAAAATAGTGTGATTTCTTGCACATGGTTTGTTAAACCATTTGCGTTCCACTCCGCTATTCTTAGTGAGTTAGCCATTAAGATGTTCTATTTATCACGGTTGTGAGCATGCTTAAGATCATGCTATTTTGATTTATTAATTGTGCAAACATATTTTGTTTGTTTGAGTTATTTGCTGCTGCTGCATCAGCATATGTTGTGTGTGGTTGCTGTGTTTGGACATTAGGGTTATTTGAAGTGTTAGTTCTAGGTCTGTGAATGCAATTTGTTATATTCTTGTTCTTCGAGTTTATTAGGTCTTTATATATAGCACACCCTTTATAGTTAGCTGTTAGGTTGCCTTTGCATAAGGCACATGTTGCAGGTATGTCGCGTGTTTTTTTATAGGCTTTTGTGTCATATGCGCACCTCCGCATTTAACACAAGAGAATGGCCTCATGCAGTAAGATTTTGAGTGCCCGTATTTTTGGCATTGAACTATTGTATTTTTTATTCTTGGTGGTTCTACTGTTATTTTACAGTGTTGTAGGTCTTTTAGGTTAAATATGTCTTTTTGTTTTCATCTGGTTCTATATCTACGAAGAAAAGTGGTAGCGGTTTTTTACTAACTCTGTGCCTGACATTAATTATATTGCGAACTTTAAAACCCTTATTGTTTAGTTCGTTCGAGATATCTTTGGTTGGTATTGAATGGTGTAATCTTCTTATGGCAATTCTATAAGCCCTCTCTTTTTTGGGTTGGTAGGTGTGGTGTACAATGTTTTCATTTCTAAGGTGATGAATCAGTTTTCAGTAGGTGTCTGGATTTGTAGGATTGATTACTGAATTATTTGAGAGTGTTTTGGTGTAATAGGTTTCTGCTGCAGTTGCAGCTGTAAGGTTTGCTATCATGGCACCATAGTCAGTAACTCCATAAATATAGATTGGTGTAGGTGTGGGATCTTTTTTTAGTGATGTTTGTGTTTTGTGTGTTTGATAAATTTTCTGTGTGTTTATCGAGATTTTCTTGAGGGAGGAATTCAAATCTGTTCTGTGTTTCAATTTGAGTTGTTTGACGATTCATTCTTTTCCTCTTGCGAATTACTTGCCACGGGTGTTTATTTTGGCTCTCTGATTTGTTGTTAAGTTCCATATCGCTGTCACTATCTGAAAGTGGGCAGTGAGGGTTTGAGAACGTTGATGTGTATTGTGACTGATTAGGGTTTTGTGCAATCATTTGGTTAGGAATTTCTGTTTGGTTTGGTATAGACATTTGGTTTGGAATGAACATTTGATTTGGGCATGGCATTTGATTTATTTGCGTGTGGTTTGATGGTATTTGGTTGAAATACATTAATGTTACTTGCGGATTAACTGCCGTTTGATTTAGTTGGTTCTGATAGGTTTACTGTTGGTTATTTATTATTGGGACACCCTGTCTAGTATTCATTTGTTGGTGAATCGGCTAACCATTCTCATCAAATCCTATTAAATTCCCCGAAGGGAACATAATTGAATTATTTATTTCATTTATCACTATTAGTTTTTGTAACTTTTTACTTTTTAAAGTTTTTTGCCGGCTGATAAGATAAGATAACTAGATATTTATTAATTAATTGTCTATTAATTAACAAGTTTCTGGAACTATCGATCTTCCCTAGCGCTTCGGATGTCGATACGTGTTCACGCTACGAGAGTGAGAATTTTATAATATTTTGATTAAAATATAAAATGTGATGTATAGTAGCAAAAAAATAGGATAAAGTGGTTACTTACAATCCTCTGAAAATGGATTTCCAAACCATTTTCTTAATATAGTATCCAAGAAACCGACTTTACATTTAGTATCATTAGGATATTCAATTATTTCCATCTTGTCAACTCTTTCTAACAGAAAACGAGGTAGTTTTCTTTCAAGCTCAGTATGTAACACAACCTAAAATATATTTAATATTATAATAAAAAAACTGTATATGCAAAGGATATAGTGAAATAAATAGAAACTCAGTCCTCAATCTGCTACATAAGGCATAGATTTAGTAACGTAAGTCTGAGACACTATCCAGGATACTATTTATATCTGACAAACTAATAAACGGATTTTGTTAAAAATTGGTAAGAATACTAATAGGGACCCTATAGACATTTCTCGTTATTGCTGATCTCTATTACTCATGCGCAAATTCTAAAATTGTATAATAAACGATCTTATGAAGTCATCAATTGAAAAAAAATTTCAAATTAACTTTAGCCAGAAATTAATAATACTTTAATACCTGTAATGTTATTTTTTTTTTGAAAATAATTTTTTCTTTTCATAAATTACCCTTTCATATTTTATTAAAATCCGGAATAAAAATAGGGGTATTTTATTTAAAATAAGGACGTTGACATCTACTTCTAGTATTAACGGAAATTACAGAAATATCAAAATATTTTAGATGGAAAATTCAGAACTTATTTTCTATTTTAAATTTTTTTTTTCTAAAATTTACTCAATAACTTGTCAGATACAGAGATAGTGTCCCCCCTCCCGTCAGCCATGTAGAAAATAATATTTACCTGCATAGCCAATCTTTTTAATTGGGCATTTCTCCTAACTGACTCAATGTCTCCAACAGCCAAACCAATAAGGAGATTCATCAATAGAATTGGCATTAGTACCATAAACAATCCCAAAATTAGAAAAGCAGGCATTGGGAACGGTAGAAACGATCTTTCCTCGTCGTTCGTCATGTAGTAGGGTTTAACGTAGGTTCCCAAAAAATCTATTTCGCCCAACATCATTGAAAATGTACGAATTAGTGACATGGGGATTGTTTTAAATGAGAGGTGTTCACCCTAAATATTATAGAACATAATTGGTTAGTTCATAAAAAGTTTACAGTGTTATAACTAATCAAAAAAGCTCACATGCATTACATTAAATATACAATTCTTCCAGTCAGTCATTGAACTTATTGCGTGCAATTCCAGGAATAGTGCCAGGCCATCTGCTAGATAAGATATCTATTAACTTAAAATTACATTACATAAATAAAAATATGGTCAGAGATTGCAGGATTTCCTTGGATATAAACCAACAATAAAACTGATTACGTTTCTGGAAGTAAATATTTTTTCATTTATGTATAGTTTTCCAAACGAATTAGGCCTTGGATAGAATAGACTGCACAATACGAAAATACGAAATTTTAAGTGCATATAAAGTGAAACTGTATCTATAAGTCGTATGATACAACATAATAAATAATTCATATTAATATTCAGAGTAAATTTCATAGATTAATTTTTGGTTTATAGTTACAAACAAAATACTAGCAATGATATACTTTTTCAAAAAAATAGGTATATAGGTAATTCAATGTGTAAAAATTTTTTTTTTAGATTGAAGTAGAATAAAAATTGTTATTTGTGTATTATATTATGATCACCACAAATAAAACTATTAGTAGCTGTATTAGCCCCATTTACTGATAACTGCACCGTATCATCCTCATCAAAATAAAAAGGTTTCTATTGACTGACTTCTAAAACCTCAACATAACATAAATAAACAATCTGTTTACTTCTATTACAGCAAAAATTAGAAAAGAAGCATCGTTACACCACCGGTCTTAAATGTAACAGAAATGTAGGTAATCTAGGACATTATATACATTTTACCCTAAAACTCCCTGTATTTTAGCATTTGAAATTCGTTACTTAAATGATAATTTTTTAAATATTTGCTTTACGATTCTTAAGACTAGATATATCTATTATTATTATTAAAATAATATTACTAAGCGATATTGTTGATATTGTTCCACCTTCATTGATTTTTTCATATTATACTTAAATAACACTTACCCTAGAGAGCAAAATGTAGAAAGCCAGTCCAAACGCAATGATCAATATAGAAAATACCATCAACACTTTTATGAGGGTCTGTAAAATTTCCAAAAACATCACTACATAAATTCCAACTTGATCGAACCTCTGAAGCAACAGTAACAAATTGAACCAGCTGAGAAATACTGTTAATGATGCACAAGAAAATTGCAGATCGTACATTACACCTCCGAAAATTGGCAAGACCATAATGAGTGCTGATATGTATAGCAGCCATGTTACTAAGTTTATGGGGTCCATACAGTAGAGGAATTTTTGTTGATATAGTTGGAGGAATTCTCTGAATATGTTTATTCCTATGTAGGCCATTATTCCCAAAGCGCTTATGTACATAACAGGACTTACGTTTATGTTCAAGATAAGTTCCTTGCTAAAGTTCACATATTCCTAAAAAAAAACGACGTATTTATTATTGCAAGATAACTATTCATATATTATATTCATGATTATGCATGACAACGCTCGACCACATATTGCGAGGATTGTATCTCAATATTTGGACGAAACAGAAATTCAAAGGATGAACTGGCCATCACGTAGCCCAGACCTCAATCCAATTGAGCACGTCTGGGACATGATGAGCAGACGAGTTCATAACCGAGTTCCAAGTAATTTAAATTTTTTGAGAGGTGCTTTGGTCCAAGAATGGGATCATATTGACCAGATGGAGATTCCACATCTAATAGAGGGTATGCCACGACGCATTGAGGCGCTGGTGGGGGAAATACCCGTTAATAATTTGTAATAATTATTAGTTTATTTGTTGTTTGATTTGTTTATAAAATTATGTATTACTCTGCTAAAACTGAATAAAAAGATTAAGAATGTTGCATTTTCTTTAAACCGTCACATTTCACAAACAAATTAAGATATCGGGGTAAATAAAAAATTAAAATGTTGGAAACAAATCAGTCTTCTTGATAAAGTTAATTGTGTGCAGATCTACTAGCAGAATTAACCTACAAGGTGTGTCAAAAGTAGAGGGAAAAATTGTTTACTTTTCCCCCCTGTATATCCGACGAGTACTAAATTACTTTTAGATGTCCGAATAATAATCTTAAAACTACAGTATTTTACTAAAACGAGTAATACTATCAGTAGAAAATATAAGGTCAATTATGTCAATATTTAAATGTCTAAAATTTAAAAGAAAACCTGTTCTCTTATTTGATTATTTTAAATATAAGATAATTTACACATGATTATATTAAAATTATTAATCCCAAAGCAATTTAGAGCACATATTTATATGAAATATTGTTCATGAAATAGATCAATGATTTATTCCCATCAATTTATATAGGCCAATTGAAGGCATTAATTTCAAAAAAGTACCAAAATGTATACCAACCCTAGCGATATCCAAATCTAAGTGCCATCGCAAACCAATTCATTTATTCATTTAGTGGCTAAAAATGCTAAGTATATGTGTCTAATTTATTTTACTCCTAACTTTTTACCATATTTTTGGTACCTATAGGCACATTTACAAATACCCCAAATGCCTAACAAATAATACGCCGATGAAAATAATTAAGTATTCATCTGTGCCACTTAGATTAGATTTAGTTAGGATATCTTTTGCAGTAGACTCCATAGACTTAGGAAGTAACTCATAGTTTTTCTTTTCCAAAAAAAATTTCATTCTTGATAGACCTTCGCACAATAAGTGTACTGCAGCCTCCTCTTCCTGACAGAATCGGCACAAGGTCTCTTCTGCCAGGCTAATGTTATACACATGTTTGTTAAGCCTACAATGCCCTGTTAATTGTCCTATTATGGCTTAGTAAATGCTCGGTGAGTTTTGACGATGTTCTTTTCAGAATTTTTTAGCCTGTCTCTATCCTGGTGAATTGTTCCACCAATTCTAAGGTGTCTTTAGCATCCACTGCTTCGTGCATGTTCTGAAAGCTTTCTTTGTCAAACCACAGAAGGTTTCTGGGCCAATAAGAGCTTTTGAGGCAGCTCCGGCTAGTAAATAATCCTCTTGCCTTTGGCTTAGAACTATAACTACTCCTGACCCATCATGAGTTTTGGAGTCGCTTGTATACCAGGTGAATAGGAGGTCTTTATATTGCTTTTGAAAGCTATATTTTAGAAGCATTTCGCCTGAAAGCATTCCCATTATTTGCTCGTTCTCCAACTCTGTATAGCTCACTGTAGTCACGTCCATGCAGATTGCATATGGGTGCACTCTGTATGTGACGAACCTGGCTTTACTTTGAATTATTACATATAGTAGTGTTAGTGGTCAAATATTGGGTGGTTGTACTAATTTTATCCTATATTTGTGTAATTGTAATGGACTGTACATTTTTTTTGGTTCTGGAACGGATGTGGGGTATTCAAAATGCTACACTAATTTGATTTATTTATTGCATAATTCGTGTCAATGACGAAATCAACACTTTATAAACGAAAGAAGGCACAAGTCGGATACAATAATTATTAATGGTAAGATGTCTAATCTGACGCTGCTTACTGTCGTTAACTTTTCGCTACAAAACACTCTGAGAGAATACTTCTATTTCAATTTAATTAGACGTTATAGAAAAGCCAGCCCGGTAACGCCCACAAAAGCGGAAAATTCCAGCTAAGTTTAGCATATAGTCTTGCCAGACTATACCACCGACCCGTGTAATATCATTGGCTTTAAGACTCTGGTATGCAGCCATATGAACATTTTTGGTTGTAGTCCTTATTTTCTACACAAACTTTTTGGGTGATTTTGCAAATGCTGATTTCATGTTAACCTGTAGTCAAATAGGATATCCAACAATTTGGCCTCTTGGGTAAACGCAATCTCCACTTCTATTGGTAATTTTAGACCTGTCATTGGTCCAATAATTAAGGAAGGTTCGCCTTTACACTTCTAGGTTGCATTGGCATACACAACATACACCTTTGTACTGTAAAATTTTAACGAGGTGGTGTCCTGCTAGTCAGAAATTAAAATAGTATTATAATTCAGTGCTGTCTAGAAATTATTTATACTAAAAGTAAATAGGTATTTCTCACAGATAAATAATTCTTATTGTACTTGAAATTTGTGTTAGTAAAATTTCTTTTCTTAAACTTTTTCTTTCTAGATTCAGTAGATAGACAAGGCCGATTCTGCAATCAATGCTAACTAAGGGTAGACCGATTCTAGAATCAATTCCTAGATTCAAAGGCAAAATGATGGTAAGCCGTTTCTAGAATCAAGATAGAACATGATGGTAAGCCGTTTCTAGAATCAAGACAGAAAATGAAGCCGTTTTTAGAATCAAAATTAAGGGTGGACCGATTCTGGAATCAAAGCAAAACTAAAGGTGAGCCGTTTCTAGAATCAAAAATTAAGGTGCACCGTTTCTGGTATTCTGAATATGTGAACATGTATCGAGGGATGGGGGTCCAAGGGTGGAAGATTGTATTTTTGCAGTGTCTAAAGGAAGAATGCTGATGAGTTGAAAAATTATTTTTATTCTAATTTTCTTTACCATTTTATCACTTGTATCATTGTATCACCCTATACAAAATGCGGCTAACACCTTATTCGTCTTACATATAAGCGCTTTCAATTAGGAAAACCAGTTAATTTGCAATTCATAATTGCATTCAATTTAATTAAAATCAATATTACCTTGTTTATAATTTACTTTACGGATATTAAATAAGTCGTTTTCTATTGAATGTAATTTACATATAGAAAATTAACTACTTCCATATAATCTAAAGCGATTTGAAAAGCATATTTTTTTTTTTAATACGTTGATAAATAAAGTCGTTTTCTATTGAATGTAATTTCCTATTTCAGTAGAATCTAAGGCAATTTGAGAAAGCATAATTTTTATTTTTAATAAGTTTATAAATACAGCGACATTAGAATTCAGTTTCTAGTGTTCAATTTTATAATGGGTAAGAATTATTTATGTGAAAAGTGATTTTTATAATTACATGTATATTTTTTTATTCTAGATCAACAAATTAAAAATTTTTTAAAAATGAATTTACCAGATCACCTAAAAGTAAGAGATTAAGTGTTTTTTAAATAAAATATGTGTTTACCAGTTTTAAATTTTTAGAACCGGTCAACCGTAATATTGTTTGGTAAACCGGGGCGAACTCGCCCTAGTGAATCTATAGATATGGGGGTAATTTATGGGCATCATATATATGCATTTGAGGGCCCCATAATAGTAGTGTGGGCTTTAAAAAAGGTTAGTATACTTTAATTTAAAATATTTTTAAATGCTTTAAACTTGAGGTTTTTTTTACAGTGTTAATAAGTCTTTTGACGTAATTAGACGTATCTTAAATTATTTTACGATGATGACTACCTTTCTGAATGCAAATTTTATTATTTTAACAGCATTAGTAAATAATATATTTTATATAAATGCACCATACGGAGTACAATATGTTGCAATCTGTTTTAATTTAACTGAAATTAACGAAGAATGCGCACGCAGTTCATGGATATTATCTAGAAAAGCTGTTATAAATTCAGGACATCTTCCCGTATTTTATGTTGATGTACCTATTACAAACAAAACTTATTTAAACTATAAAATTAAGTTGATATATCCGAATAATACAGAAAGAGATACTCATGAATCGCAAAAATTAATTTTAAAGTTTTCTTCTGAAAATAATATTATAAATAATAAAAGTGAAGATAGACAATTGTTTGCAATTTCAGTTGTAACTTTGATATGTATTTTAGTTCTTATGGCAGTGGTTTTAGGGAATTATTTTAAAATATTTTTGTAAATGTATTTTCAAATTTAATGAAAATAAAACTCAACTTTAAATAAACAGTTTTTATTAAACAAAAAGAACATTTATCGAGGTAATATTACATTACAAAGCCAATGATGCAGTATTTCCACATTTTTTTTGGAACACATATATTTCGTTGTATTATGGTTCAAACAAGATGTTGAATGGGAGTCAAAAACTTCTGTTCTGCATGGATATTCATCATATTTTGCTAAGTCAATAATGTTAGGGAATGTACCAAATTCTTTACATTTCTGAACTAAAAAGTCATATTTTTGATTACCCCTCACATAAATATAATCTGCATTATACAATAAATATTTTTCTAACACAGAATTTAAGTTAGAGTAATCTATATAACCAGCAGAGAATTTTATTCCGTGAACATATTTTTCTAAATGATTGACAGTTTTTTTATCTTTAGAACTTAGTTGTAAATAAGATACCGGTGACTTAAACAAAAAATCATACTTTTGAGGACCTATCTGTATGGTTAATTCCTTAGGGTGGAAAATACCATTGATTGGAAACCCCTGTATATCAACCAGAGCTATTCTCATGACTAATTAAAATAAACTGTGTTTATTGTTAATAAAAAATTAATTTATATAAAACATTTTATAAAATATAAGTGGGGGTGATTATTAAAATTAAAAAAATCATTGCTATAGTATTTATTATTAACAAAATATCGGAAAAGGATTTTTTTTTAATTATTTTTTTATTCATAAATTTTGAATGTTCCCATAATAAATGTGATTTAATATTCTTAGCAAACTCACAATTAGGACTAAATTTAAGGTGTTCGTCAATAGGAACATCGTGTTCTTTCCAATTAAATATTTCTATTTTGCATTTAAAACAGCGGACAGCGTCTTTAAAATTTATAAAATAAAAACCAGCTTTTGCCAATTCAAGTGGACATATTACACCATTCCAATTTGTATAAGAATGTATTCTGTTATCAAGCTCGTTTTGCAAACACACGTAATCTATACAGCACATTTTCTTGTTTTAAAAAAAAAAAAGATTTTTCATAAGTTATATATGCTATTTTAAAAGGAAGGGGTAAAATCAAACAAGGTTGTAAATTATTTTTTCGTTTTCATTCATTATATAATTATCATATATATAAAATACATTTGATAATGAGCAAATACAATTATCAGTGCTATGATAAAAACATTTTGGTTTACACAGGTCTAAAGGTAGATTTTCGTTAAATTCATAAACTGGTATCTTACAAATTTTTTTAATAATTTTATAATTTTCTTTTCCATTGATATATACCATATTAGCTTCTTTTGTTAAATCATCAACTATACTTTTAAAATGATGTACTGGAGTAAAACCACTACTCCAATCAATACAATGATTGGTTTCCGTAATTCGTTTATAAAAATTATGAGATAACAATTTTTTATTAAATGGAGGTTTGAAAACATAATGACTTAATCGTTTTCCATCATAAGATGCTAATTCTTTCACGATAAATTTTTCTTTTTCAATTTTATAACCTTGAATATCGAGTACTAATCTCATTTTTTTAAATACCTTATTTAATGTTTGTTAAATGTTAAAAATATTTGGTTTTTTCTATACTCTTGACGCTTTATTGAATAATATCTATAAATGCATTAGTTTTATAAATTTTTATTTGATCATGCGCATTATTTTTGCTTAACAATTTTAGATGCTGGAAAATATGAAAAATGTTTTTCGTGTAATATAAGACAGTAAGCTGAGGTATCAGTTGGAGTGGGGGTGTCAGTTTCAAATTCAATTCTTAATACAACAGACCCTGATTGAAGAACTTCTTTCTGTCTGGAGCAATCTATATGTATTAATGGAGATTTAGTTTTAAATTGCTCAGGATTAAATATAGGCTGGCTCTTATTATTATAATAGGTTTCCTGAAAATTAGTGAACATATCATATAATGCCGCATAACGATTGCTTTCAAAATTTAAATGTAAATCGTTATAAGGATATCTTTCAGAATTTAAAAACAATCGTATGTTATTTAAATTACAATGATCAAATTGACTCATGTCCTTAGTAATATCTCCTTTTCTGTCTTTTTGAAAACCAATTATTACATGTCTAGGTGTTTCAACATTTGAACTTGTTTTTACTGCCCATGTATGTCTGGTAGAATTATTTAAGGAGGGGTATTCTATAAGTTGCCAAGAACGAAATTTTATCGGTAATTCTAAATTGTTGTTAGCTATATTAGTTAAGTAAAGTTGATAGCTTAAATTTGGTTGAATGTGTGGGACATTCCATAATATTTTAGTTAATTCAATTTTAGGTTTTTCGGTTTCATCAGATCCTATTATAGCATCAATATCATCACTTGTACGAATTAACACTAGTTCTTGCTTCATATTCATTATAATTTTTTTAAAATCCTCAAAAAAGCCAGATAGTAGTTTTAATGGAATACATACATTGAAGTTACCTTCCGCATCTGCTAATATTTTTTGGACTGCGTCTTTTGGATTATAATTTGGAAACCAGCCTGCATTTTCTAGTGAAACACTCTCATTTTTATTAAAACTTAGATAATTTTTAATTGTAGACACAAGGCCTACATTTCTAACTGAGTCTATTACAACGCCATTTAATTCATATCTAAGTTCACGAAACAAGTATGCTACTCCATTATTTATAAATTTAAATTTAGTTGGTACTTTTCCAGTATCAGTCAGTAATTTACCTTCAATGTATATATAACTTTCTGATGGTAAAGTGTAAGCATCTAAATCCTGAATAGAAATACGTATTTCATCATTGTAATTAATATTTCCAGTAATATTTGGCTGATATAAATGAAACTGATTTTCTTCAATAGTTACATCATTAATAGGTTCTTGGGTGACTTGAAACATATTTATTTTAATAAATTGCTTATTTTTATTGCTATGTTAATGCTCCAATAGTCTAAGCAGAAGTAATTAAAAGGTTTAATATTAATGATTTATATAATTTTAGGGTTTTTATTATCATTAGTTATGTCTTTATTAAAACGAACTTATTTCCTTTAATATATAGGAACGATACTGTATATCTTCAGCAATGTCCATTATACTAGAACTCTAAATCCAAGTGATTTTAGAAATTTTTTATGTTCACGTGTTATTCTTGCAGAAGTTTTAGTAAAATTAACTGAGGGCTTATTAATTAATAAGCTTTTGTTTTTTTCTTGATAAGGGTGAAAGAATTTTAAAACCATATTTATAATATAGCTTTTCGAATATGTAAAGTAACAGTAACTTCTTCTTCTTGAAAATCAATAATGCGTCCTCTTTGGTCAATTATTTTTACTATAATGTTGTTAATTGTCTTTACGCTTACTGGATAATAAAGAATATTCTGAGGAGATTCTACTATTTTATATCCACTCGGAACGGTTGGAAAGAATTGATGAATAATGTGAACAGGTTCTCCATTTAAATAAATACCAGTGGCAATATTACAATCAACGCCTATACTATTAACTTTTAAAATTTTTACTGTGTGCTTGGAAATATAAGTTTTATTTGGTTCTAGGCCTAGTTTCTCAAAACCAAATAGTGAACCTATTGAGTTTTCATGATTGAAAGAAATTCTGCGATTACTTGTTATAGATAAATGAGAGGTATTTATATTTGGTATTATTTCAATTAAAGCATTATTGTCTATTTTACTCATATGTTCCTTTATAATAAGAATAATATCATCTAATTCATATGCGCCTACGGGTATTCTCAGTTCATGTAGATGTTTTTTTGTACCCCATAAAAATACGTTATTTGTTTTATCTATATTGGGGATGGTATTAAAACTATTAAAATTTACCAACCCAATTTCATAGTCTATATTTTCATCTAAATATATTGGAGGATTAAAATTATAACTTAAAATTGAGGAATTTCCGCTTAGAGTAAATGAAAACGCCATTTTTACTTTATGACTGTATTTTCATGAATGACAATTGTTTTTACATGTTTTGATTATATAAAAAATTAAGTGAATGATGACCACACGTATATGACCTTGTTTGAAATTTATCATAATTATAAGTTATGTCTACGAATCCATTACTTAAAAAATAATTAATTAATTCGAGTGGAGGAGGTAAACTGCCATAACTATCAAAATAAGTTACATTTTTATCTTTTTTTGAATATGCTATCCAATGCGTTCCTTCTCCAATATTTGTATCTAAATTTACAATACCATTTTCAAAATGATGAATTTTTTTGGGTAATGTATCTCGCATAAAAACCCCTCTAAAGTAAGGTATTTTCAAAACTTTTACAAATTTTTCTAAATCTACATCAGTCAACGCCCTGTGTGGTAATATCAGTTTTTTGACTTTTTTTCATATTTTTTATATCCTTTTCCTTTGTATGGTCTTAAATATAAACCCTTTCCTTGATTTAATTTCCTGCAATTAAAACCTTGTCCTTTCTTTTCCATGCTTAAATTATGGCGTTTCTGTTCTTCTAATTGTTGCCGATTAGCTCTAGCATCATTCACAGCCTTAGCGATGCCGGCTGACATGCCGCCAACAGCCCCTAAAGCAGATAAAATTGGTAATATTAAGGGTAAAAACCCACCTTTAATCGGTACTCGAATAATTCTCTTTTTATTTTTGGTTTTTCTGGCTTTTCCTTTTTTCAGACCCATTCCAAGTTTACGTTTACCTGCCATTGCGGTTGTTACAAACAAAGCTGCGGCCCTTTCACCTAATTTAGCCTCTTTTGATTTCAATATTTCAAAGGCTGTACTTTCTAAAATTTTATCTGCTTTATGTCTATCTTCAAGGTTATTACTTTGAGAATAAGCGATATCGTGTACTCTGCAAGCTTGATCAAGGAGATTTATGCCTTGATCACCCTTTTCTAACCTTTTTTGTAGTTTTGTTCCAGGTCCGCAGAACGAATATCCTGGAATATGTAATTCTACTGGTAATTTGTTGATTAACTGGTTTACTAATCCTTTACCTCTTTTTCGATGTTTACTGATGCCTTGACGTTTAACCATTGTTTCATTTTATATATTTACGTTAACCTATATATATTCTATAGTCTTCAATTAGATGTGTTAAAATGAAGATTAAAAAACAAAATATTTCTTTACCCATTAAAAATCATGATGACCTAGGATTTGAAAATAAAATTAACAAACATGGATTTTTATTTGGTGGAGAAAGTAAACGAGGATTAATTGTTGGTCCGAGTGGGTCAGGCAAGACAAACGTTATATTATCTTTAATTGAACATCCTAATGGATTAAGATTTAAAAACATATACTTATATTCAAAATCACTTTATCAACCGAAATACAGCTATCTCCGAACATTATTGAAACCTGTTAAAGAAATTGGGTATGAGGAATTTGATGATCCCAAAGACATAATTGGCCCTGAAGAAATTAAAGATAATTCAGTCATAATATTCGATGATGTTGCTTCTTGTGATCAAAATATAATTCAAAAATATTTTTGTTTCGGTCGTCACAAACATACCGATTGCTTTTATCTTTGCCAAACTTACTCTGCCGTACCTAAACAGCTAATAAGGGACAATGCCAATCTTATAATTATGTTTCAGCAAGATGTAACCAATTTAAAACATATATACGATGATCACGTAAATATAGATATGAGTTATCAGGATTTCAAAGAAATATGTTCTTATTGTTGGGCTAATAAATTTGAATTTTTAACTATTGATAAGGATTGTTTAATGTCTTCAGGTAGATATAGAAAGGGCTTTGATACATTTATTTCTATATAAATACAAAAATTAATTAAAAATTTCATTTAAAATGAATCCGCAACTTACTAAACAGCTCATAAAATCCAGACTCGCTCTAAAGAAAAAATATAAAAGTTTAAAAAGTGATATAACTAAATCACAGACACATTTAGAAAAATCGTATCAGCCTATAACACAACCACTCAAACAATTAGTTTCATTTTTTAAAAATAAAGAATCAATTAAAGATGAAATCACGTCTCCAAAATCAGAAAAATTTAATTCATTTCATATGCCTCCTCGAAACGATTATAACCAAATAGCATTTACTTCTTCTTCGCATATTAATCCTGAATCTATAAATCAAACAATTATACCTACTGCAGAAATACCTCAGCATGAGAGTACTCGTTTGAGTCAACCATCTTTTTCTGGTCAAGAACAAACTTTTGAATATCAACCTAATACAAGCGATGAACAAATTGATCAATATATTGATGATTCAATAAGAGTTATCAATAATTTAGGTGAAAACCCCCCACCTTCTTTTATTGAATATTTGAATCAATTTACATCACCTTTACCTAGAGATTTTATTTCTGATAATATTTCAGATACTAAAGGCATCTTTGATAATAATTTGGGTCTTTATCATAATTTAGAAACAGAAAAATTTTATATTGGTGATTCGGAAGTGAATTTTGTTGGTCCAGATGTTAAAATAAAAGGAGTTCAATATCCGGGGACATATGGTCTTTATGAACTTCTTTTTAAAAAAAATCCTATTTCATTTAAACAAGACGATGTTAATAATTATGTGGATATAATAAAAAGAACAAATGCAGCACGAAGAAATAATAATCCGGATTTACCAATTAAAAATTTTCCTAGAGATATTAAGGATAAATACAATTTTATTATTAAACCAAAATTAGAAACCGGGCCGTTTAGACGAAGACTTGGCTCAATACCAGACTCTTTGATGCATGGGATTGTAACAAGAAGTAAAAAAGCTAAACCGGGAAAAGGAATGACAATGTTACAATATACGAATAAACCAGTGGATTATAAATATTTTAATGATTTTAATGAAATAATTGACAGACTACAACTACTTGTAGCGTCTCAAGCTGCTGGAAACACTGGACATAATAATGAAATTATATCGATTATAGAAGAATTACGAGAAGGCGGCATAATTGAATAAATACACTGATTTTAGTACATTTTTAATAGTTTATATTTAACCGTCTGACAATGCCTATTAACAAATTTGGTAGTCATTTCCTAGATAAACCTATATCAGACACTCCACTATCATCAGTTCTCTCTTCACCATTTTATTTGTGGGATCCGTCAGCATACCATAGCAAATGTTTTATTAGAATTAAAGGTATCAAAAAATTAAAATTAAATAAAGATTTATATATTTTAGATAATTTAGGAACAGCTTTTGTTTTTAATTTTTCTGGTAAAATTGAATCTATAAGGCATTATTCTGCAGATGGAATTATATTAATAAATTCAAAACCATATAAATATAATAGTTTGGCTGGAACATTTATTGAAAAAGGAGATAAAATTGAATTTAAGCTTGGAACTCCGGATGAAATGTGTGCTGATTTTGTTTTCCAATGTTTATTAGAAAAAAATGTCTAATATTAAAGAACAAGTTGTAAATGAGCTTCATAAGCCGGCTAGAAAAACTTATAGAAGACGACATGTTATTGTTAAGGGTCTACATGATTTAATTCAAGCTGATTTAGCAATTATGTCATCTTATGCTAAAGTAAACAATGGTTATAATTATATTCTTGTAGTCATTAACGCATTTAGTAAATTTGTATGGGCTGTTCCTGTTAAAAGAAAAACGGGGAAAGATATTATGACAGCCATGAAAAAGATTCTTAACCAAATGGTATCACCACCAAAAAATCTACAAACAGATAATGGGACCGAATTTTATAATAAAGATTTTCAACAACTAATGAAACAGTATAATATTAATCATTACAGCACTTTTTCAAATTTAAAAGCTAGCATCGCCGAGAGGGCAATAAGATCCCTTAAAAATTTACTATGGAAACAATTTAGTCTACAAGGCTCTTATAAATGGTTAAAAATTCTTCCAGAAATTGTACAGAAATACAATAACTCTAAACACTCTACCACAGGTGCAATTCCAAGTACCGTTAATGATAAAAATGCAAAATATATTATTGCGTTTAACAACTTGAAAACTGTTGATCCACGGAACCTAAAATTTCATAAAGGAGATTCAGTTAGAATTAGCAAATATCGTCATATCTTTGCTAAAGGATATACACCGAATTGGACTAATGAAATTTTTAAAGTTAAACAAGTTAAACTAACTAATCCGACTACATATATTTTGGAGGATGATCAAAAAGAAGAAATTCAAGGAGCCTTTTACACTGAAGAATTGCAAAAAGTTAAATATCCAGATGTTTATTTAATTGAAAAAGTTATTAGAAGAAAAGGAAATAAACTACTTGTCAAATATTTAGGTTTAAAAAGTAAATTTAACTCTTGGATAAACAAATCTGACCTTGTATAATAATTTAAAAATAAAACTTTTAATCATCTTCCAGTTTAATTTTTACATATAATTTGTTACAACCTTCATTAACATAATAATTTAAATTAATATTTTCCTTTAAAACGAAATATTTTTCAATTAACATCCAATCATAATAAAACAAAATATTAACGTCCTGGCACTCATCACAATTACATATACCATCTTCAATTGACTCATCTTTTTCTATAGATTCAAATATTTCAATTGTTAGCGCGTTTGGTTTTTTAAAACCCTCCTTGACACATGCCTGAATATGTAATGTAGGAAATTTGTTAAATTTGTTCCGAGTATATTCTTTTGAAAAATAATTTTTAAAATTGTAAATATTTGCAGGTGTTTTAACAGTAATATATGCATCTACACCCATTTTCTTATTAAAAATTGTAATAATTTTATTAATTCATTCTTATATTGCTTGATCCCACCACTAAATATTTTAATAGATGGTATAAATTAAAATATTATGCTAACCTACTTCTCAGTATTATTGTAAATGCTCTATCGATATGGCAAGTCAAGACAGTGGTTATTACAGTATGATAAACAGCACAACAAATGATGCTTGTGATTCTAAAGAGACTTTTTCATCAATTTTAAACAATGAAGACTATCAAGAGCAACTTGATAAAGTGTTAGAATTTTACGAAGATGCTGCAAAAAGTGAACCTAATTATTTGCTAAATAAATTGTTGCCGCTGGGAGCATTTCAAATTCAGTGTGGAATAAGTCCGGCTAGAACATTTAGCCCTGCTATAACCATTTCTCAACCTAATAAGTCAAACAAGATATCATTTGGAATGTTTGAATGGTCTCAGTTTATAGATTTACTGGTAGAAAAAACTAATGAGTTTTTTAATAAACCGTTGATATCCTGCTCAGATAAATATGCTCCAGTGTCATTCTTATGTGGAGATTTTTGTACCGTGATACAAATGGTTTTTGATAATACAAAATTTCTCCAAGTTTCCAAACATGGTGTGCAGTTTTATCTTACAATAGATGACGTTAGTAAAATTCTAGAAGCTGATCGTAGTGTTGTGTCATATCAAGTTACACTGTTGGAACAATTAAACTTCTGTGTCTATTATAATAGTATTTTAAATATAATAAAGACCTATTTTAATGATTGCAAAAGTGACTTAATCAAATTAGAACTTTTATATGATATTTGTGATCTATCCACTGAGTCATTGTTAAATCTTGCTTTAAGAGAACATATTTACTTTTATAAAAACAAAGTACTTGCTGATTTAAATAATAAATAAAAATGTATACAAATTTCTTAATATTTTTACATGGACTTATTTAACAATATTTATTTTTGTTTCAGTAACTGACTACCGCGCCACTGTCATAAAAAAAAATGTAATATTAGAAAATAAAAATTATAAATACGTTTTCAGTTTTTTTTTTTTTTATTTATGATAAATTACAGTTGTTTTGTATTAAGTTTGGTTTTTGAAGGTATAAATTACAATAATTAAAATCAATATACAGTTGTTAGAAAATGTCTAACAAGAGCTATGAATTATATAGAACATTAAACATTGTTATACTCTTTGTTTAAGAGAATAATATGTATTACTAAAATCAACATTATTGAAGTAAGATTATATGACATTGTATTTACTACTAATACAAGTTCTGTCTTAAGTTTCATAATAAAAATATACTTTTATTTTTTCTCAATATATTTATAGATATTAAATTTGAATTAGTGAAAAATAACATTTCTTTTTTCATTCAACTAATTTAAATTAATTAACACATGTTATATTTTAATATTTTTATTTAATAATTAAAAGCTAAATTTACATCATAAAATGGTAAAATTTAATAAAATCAGTTAAAATTGCATAATTATGTAATACTAAGTTATTCCATAATACTATAGTGACCTAAAGGAAGTGTGTCATAACTGTTAGCTATTAGGTGTCTTTTATTATCATTAGGATTTAAAACTATTTTAGTTTGTTCTACACTAAAAACATTGTGAGCAAAAGAAAGGATATTACGCTGTGTTTCAGATATACTTTTATTTTCCTCTAAACAATGTAAATAATCATCAAAAGTTATTTTATTTTTTACAACGTCATATTTAACACCTTTAGATTTTTTTGTTACACCAATATTCTTTATAGTTTTTTGAATTGTAATTTCATCTAATTGTTTTTGTTTTAATTTATTTTGTTCTTGGTCTTTTTCTTTTTCCGTTACATGAAGCTTAAAAGAATACATTTTAGATCTAAGTCCTACAAAATGAGTAATAATTTTTCCCTTTGTTTCATCTTTCATTAAACCAACAATTTTTTTATTAGCTAAAGGCATATTGTAAACATTATTTAGATCATAGTCACTTGTATCAAATTTACTGATATTAGCCTTAATAATTTCCTCATATACATCATTGCAAGTTATTTCATATAAAAGACTATCAGTATCTGTATACAATAACTTAATTTGATCTGTTGAAAATTTTTCTAGCATGAATTCGTAATGAAATTTATAAATTAAAGTTTTTGATATATCCAAAATTGTCATGCCTACGTAAAGTGGTTTGTTGAAAACTATTTCAGTTTTTTGTAATTCGATTGCCATTAAACTGTCGTCGAAAATAGCGCGACTGTGAAACTGTGGACATGATATCATATTTTTTGCTCCATATCTGCCATTCCATTCTGATATGATGCGTATGAGACGGTGCTTTCTAATATTTTCCATAGTTTTACCAAACACAGCGTTATTCATGAGTTTGTAATTGTTTTTTTGAAACTCAGTTACAGCTTGAGCCCTCAAACGAGTATTTAGCTCAATGTAAGATTTCATCCAAACAGACTGTTTGAATTTTAACACAGTATGAATTTTTTTTAATACTAGACCATTTTCTATCGCTTGCTTTAAATTGCGATAATGAATAACATAGTTCTTTTTAGGATACAGAGTGGTCATTAATTTAGGTAACTTTGAATTTTTAGGAATTCTGCGTTCAGCGCAAAAAGGTAAATCTTTATGAAGATCATGAATATTTTCGGGATATTCAAGGTCTACTTTTAACATATATCCGATTGGAGAATCATCTGGTATAGTTGTTACATCAATATTAGTATCAGTCCACTCAAATCCTCCATAAGGAAGGTATTCGGACATAGCCCACCCATAAAGATTATTTGCATCTAAATAAAGCAAATATTTCGATTGTTTTGTTGGATTATAATTCGGAAGATATTTGTTATTTGCTTCCGAAAATCTACTACAACACTGACTTATTCCACCTCTTAACCCATCTTCGATAAACATTATTTTATCTACACTATCTAATAATTCTAATTCAATTTTTGTATATTTCAACATACAGCTCCAGGTGTACCCTGGCATAGTATAATACCATGCAGGGTCTAAGCCATATGTTTCTCTAGAAGTAGCTCTAAACGTCTCAAATACGTCTGCAAGTAACATTATATCCGTCTTCAAATACAACTGACTATACTCTGATAAATTTTTAATGTTAAAAGCTTTCCAGACCATTTTTGCATGCTCATATTGAGAATCAGTAATATTTGAATTTAGTAATCTATTAAAAAAACTATCAATATTAGGCAATTCAGTGTCTTTTAATTTCTCTATGCTATCTACATAGTCGTAACAAAATACTCCTTTGCGAGTAATCAGACTAAATGTTTCTGGTTCTAAATCCTTAAATTCATTATTTAGATTCTGTAAATCTCCAATTTGTAGTGAAGATGCTAACTCATCTAAGGAAGCACCCATAAATCTTAAAGAGTCAATAAATCTAAATTTAATTTCTGTATCTGAATCGAATAATGTAAAAGAAATATATTTTTCCTTATTTATTGGTAATAAACTAATTTTACCTCGTCGGGCAAGGTCTTTAATAATAAAATGACTGTCATAACCTGATAAGTTATGAAACACGATTGGTACAACAAATTTTTTCATAAAATGTAAGTTGCATAATTGATGTGCAAATCCTCGAAAATGGCCAGTAAAGTGGTTATGGTCACGAACAATGACGTCATCTATAGAAAATGGCTTTTCGCAAATATGACAATTTGTGGAATTTATATCAGGATTTTCTGTTATAGGCTCAATATTTTTTATTTTAGAATAAATTTTTTTGGCTAAATATGACATTTGTTTTGCAAACCAATCCATACAGTCAATTCCTTCATAGCTCTTATAATATGAAAGATTATTATCATAATCACATTTTAAATAATACCCTGCACTGTAAGGTTTATGATGTTGATACTTATGAGTGTTTATATGTAAATTTGATTTATCTGTATAAGGTATCAACATTGTTTCAAAATCAGCATAAACAATAAAAGGAACTTTCTGTTTGTAGACAAAATCTTGAAATTTAACTGTCATATCTTTAGGAAAAGAAATTTTACAGTTGTTCCGTTTTTCACAAAAGATTGAATGGGTATTCAATTTGTCTTGAGAACTAAAATAATTTAAACATCTATCGCATATAAATTTTTTATGACCTTTTTTGCTTAGTTGATTACTTAATAATCTAGACATACTTTTAATCCAACAATAATGGTATTTAATATCTGTGTTTTCTGTTTTCTTGGGTAGAGCTTCATAATCTTTGATTTTACGATAATAAATATTTTGAATCAAAAGTAAATTTACATGTTTTACTAATTTTGAAGTCGTTAACCTTGCAGGAAGTACTGTGTAAAATGTTTTGTTTTCTTTTTGGCCTAATTCTAACATATATATATTTACAGATATATCATTTAGTTTCTCAAATTTAGAAACATTCTTAATTATCATTGGCATTTCAAAATTATCAGTTTTAAGAACTTTATTATAATGTATATAAGAAGAAGGTCTTGTTATATTTTGATTAACCGGATATAAAGCACTTACAATAGCCCAATAAAAACATGCATTATCATTATTTTGAATATTTACGCATGCTTTTTTATTTTCAATTTGTTTTGGCAATTTAATATAAGATGAACCTCCATTACCCATTTCAAATTTATTAATATTAACTTCTAGTGAAATAATTTTTGATAAAGCCCACCCGCTATCTTTTTCACTAAATTCAGACAATTTATTATTAATTTTATCCTCTATATTGTTTTGAAACCAGTCGCTAATATCTGTTCCTTCATCTATTATAGCATTAGCAGTATTAAAATATTTAAAATCTGTTTTATCTTGGTCTATACCCTGTTTTAAAAACTCTCCACAAAAACAGCAATTAACTTTAAGTGTATTCATAGTTTTTAACATTTTTTTTATTCGATTTGAAAATAGTATTTGAGAATCTGTTAAAAACTGTCCTAAATCTTTATGTTTCAAATTTATTATAATACCAGTTCTAACTCTACCTTTAAATGCAGAACATAAATCCATCCATTTTACTCGGCCAGATATTTTATTTTTTTTAGTACCTAGCCCTTTTCCTACATGATTTTGGCTTAAATTCTGAATAGATGTTTGAAAAACTTTTAAATGACCTAAATTTGTTTGTAATTTTCGTAATGATCCAATTGAAACGTCAGAGTTTCGAATAGCTTTGTTACATAACTTAATATTACTTTTTATATGTTTAAGCCAAACCTCTTTTTCTTTAATACTAAAATCTTGAATTAGGATTTGTTTAATATTTTTAAATTTATTAATTATTTCATCACTAATATCACATATTTTTTCTGAATTCATTTTTCAACTGCGAAGGTGTTTTATTTAAAGTTTTAGAACAATATAAATTAGTATTAGCTATTTGTTTATATAGATTAGTTTTATTTATTCATAAAACTATCTTTTTTTTTTAAATTATGCAAATTTACTGACTTTTTACAAAAGCAAAAATAAATCTTACATGTATCGCAAAATTCGGTATTCATTATTTATTCATCCTTTTTAACGATTTTGAACAATTGTGCTGGATTCTGCTTTCCAACTTCTTTGCTGCCTTCGTATACCAAGCAATATTCCTTATTCTCGAATTTAGCTTCCTTTCCTTTTAAGAGAGGAACCACACGTTTTGGTAGAAATACCGCATTACGTTCTAGTTCAACTAGAATACTCTCCCCATATTTGGTTTGTACAGATTGTAATGAAAAAATAGTAAATTTTTCATTTAATGGTAAATCAGACAACTTGACATTAGGTTTGAATTCAAGTTCAGCAGTTTCGTTGATTTCTAAAAGATCATATTCCATCTAAAATTAGATTGGCTACATAAATTTAAAAATAACAAAATTTAAAAATTATTACCTTAATAATAATTTACACATATATATTAAACTTAATACAAATAAACTGTAACTGTAAATTTGAAATTATGAAAATTCTTTATATACCATTATTTTGAATTTATAATTTATTAGAAAGGAAAATGAAGTAATTATTTTAAAGGTTACATCATGTTTCAAATAGTAATATTATTGGATTTTACATAATGAGAGCAGGTTTATTAAACTACTATACTTTCTAATATATACATATGCAAAAAGTAAAAGGTACTATAACATTTATTATTTAAAAAATAACCCATTCTCACTCATTTTTATGACATCTTCAGTCTAAATCAAGATTTTCAAACTTTATTGTGCCATCCTTTCAACTCATCAGCATTCTTCCTTTAGACACTGCAAAAATACAATCTTCCACCCTTGGACCCCCATCCCTCGATACATGTTCACATATTCAGAATACCAGAAACGGTGCACCTTAATTTTTGATTCTAGAAACGGCTCACCTTTAGTTTTGCTTTGATTCCAGAATCGGTCCACCCTTAATTTTGATTCTAAAAACGGCTTCATTTTCTGTCTTGATTCTAGAAACGGCTTACCATCATGTTCTATCTTGATTCTAGAAACGGCTTACCATCATTTTGCCTTTGAATCTAGGAATTGATTCTAGAATCGGTCTACCCTTAGTTAGCATTGATTGCAGAATCGGCCTTGTCTATCTACTAGATTCTTCTTGGGACTTTCTTGAGGATAAGGTTTATAATTTTTTTCTTATTTAGTTTTATAGAAAAAAAAAAAATAAAATATATATTGTAAATGCTCTTGTTTTTTCATCAATTATTTTAAAAACAATTTTTATATATATGTTATTAATATTTTACCTGAATTTATAATAATAAATTAATAATAAAAATATTGCTCTTAATGTTGGTTGAATCTCATATAAGGTTGGTATATTTTTTAGTTAGGTTCTTATTAAAGTCGAAAATGGGTTTCCATATTGACCAGTAATGTTGCCAGTTTTACAGGGAATTATTTTTTCCTTTTACAGGCCCTCATCAGATCAGATCGAAGATAATATATGTTTTTAAAAGTTGTCAAGCTACTTACTGCATGTGTCATGTTCGATGTGATATTTACGCCACCATTATTTTTTTGTTGTTGCATTAATTGTGCAGAAAAACACGTAATAAAGGCTAAGAAAAAACTGTAGAAAGTGACATTTGCCAAATGAAAGTATTTTCCATAAGAATTCCATTTCATTTGTAGATATTTTTGACTGAGAGGATGTGCCAGTAATTCAACTCTTCCATGCATTACCATAGCCTGAAATTGTTTTATACACATTAGATTAAATTCGTTTTGCATTAATACAATTTAAAGAAAAAAATTCGATATAAAACTACGTTCAATAGAAATCGATTGTTTAGTTTTGTATAAAAAAAATGTTTACTCGTGGAAATAGTAATTATGTCCTATAGTGGTTAAGTTAGAAACTCGAAAATAATTTTAAACGTTTATATTTAGCAGGTTATTTTCTAATATTGATGTTAGAGACAAACAAATATTCAAACAAAATTATGCATGAAAATAACATCGACCAAAACAACTGTAAATTTCAATTTGAAAAACAGAGAATTAAAATTCTTTTACTGCTACAAAATTTGCTTAGTAGAGAAATATTGCAAATTTTTATGGTTGCGGGTCACTTGCCCAGTTTTTGTGCGAGAGAGAAAAGCATAGAAAGGCAGCTCCTGCTAAGTACGGCAACATCGTGAATGATTACCATTCATAACTTCATCCTCGTAAGGGTCACTTACACAACAAGCATATTTATGCTAAATTCCTATTAAGAATGATGTGTGAAAAATTTAATCTATTCCATGAAAAGAAATTCTTACAAATAGAGGCGAATAAAATAAATGCCGAATTTTAATTGGAAAAATTATTATTAACTATTATTAACTATAACTACCTAATATCACTAAGAAAATTTTCGAAAACCATAATAAGGATAGAAAGATTATTTAAGGCAAGAAAATGTCACAAAAATTAGTTTGCAATCCCTATGTGTATGAACTGAATAGGTTTCTCTGATTTGAAGCTAAATTTCAAGATAATGATTTAGGTAAAAAAATTTCAGTGTCTTAGGAAGGTAAATTATACCTAAATCTGTACAGAGATCTATATTCTGTCATTGTAAACCCCAAATATTTTGGTAACGAGTCGCCACTGGTCTGGGCTACCATCATTAAACAAAAGAAGAGAAATCTATATTAATGTAGACAACAGAATCAAAAACTTAATATAGACGGTAATATTAATAAATGTTTTTTGCAAAAATTTGAATTTTTTATGATTTAAGTTTAGATATACATATTTTTATATTTTAATATTTATTTATAATTGTTGGTAAAATATTTTTTGTAATTTTTTTATAAATATTTACCTGCACTACTATTAGGTATTTACAAATAATTAATAAATATTTTAAAAAATTTTGAATTATTAATTTATTTTTTTTACACCATTACGCTTACATATCTACATGAAATGCAAGTAAGTGTATCTCATCTTTATTCTTAAATATAGGTAAGCATTCTTGGATATCAAGGGTGTATTTGACAATACCTCCGTTGAATCGATCATTAAATCTCTCAATCACAGAGGAATCGAGGACACGTGCGTGTCCTGGATCGACTCTATGATAAGGGAGAGAACTATACACACAACCCTTATGGGAGAGACAATAGCGACACGGGTAGCGAGAGGATGTCCGATGTGCGAATGCGAAACTCTAGATCGCAAAAGGCAGGCACTTTTTAGACAACCCCAGGTTGATCCAACAACGTATAAAACCCATTCATCCAACGATCTGTACAAACTTGTACAAGGTACAAAGGTGACAGAGTGGGTGCTATGAACTAACATGGGGTAAAACACAATAAGCCAACAGGCTTCAGTGTTATTCGGAGACATAGTCAGACGAGCCCAGGAGAGAAAAAAAAGTATAAAAGAACAAAAATTTTTGTTTGCATCTTTTGCGTCTAAAAAATTACCCTTAAGTAATACGTACCCTTCGCAAATAATAAATACTTAAAATCTTTTGGATTATCTACTTATTTTTTACATATATCTAAAATGAAAGAATTGACACTTTGTCCATTCGAAAATTTGGTATTTTTTTATCATTTTATTTATTTATTTTTATTAATATGTTTTTACATTTAGATTTTGTTTAATTATGATTGTCAATATGATAATAAATTATTGTTTGATTAGGAATAACATTTCCTTTACCAATACTATTGATGACGTGATTCTATCATGCGTGCGCACTCTCATGCTTTGGGGTATTTTGGTACTATCCTACCTTGAGTGCAACGTTGCCGTATCAAAATATACTAGAACAAAACTGGGCAATTGCAACGTCAGCCACTACTAGTGCCAACGTAATTAGAGGCAAATAATTTTCTTGCTAAAATGAAACTTATGGCAAACCTGAAGTTTTGACGTTAGGGTCCTTGTCAGTATACATTTTAAAACTTTAAATTATAGTTATCTTTGTTGTTATCCATTATAGTTTATAATATGGAAGAGGCATTAGAAATAGTTATTTTTGGTGATTTAGATGACGGTATTATTAAATATTAATTATTAAAACATTTCGAAATAATACAAATGTCGGCGAGCGCACCCGAAAGTTATAGTCGCCACTATTTGCTGTCGTTAAACTTTCACAATTAAGTCCAGGCACTATCTTTAATAAAGTCAATCTTAGAACTTAAACGATCTGCGCTTGCTCAGATGTTAAAATAAGAGCAGTGTTAATACATGCTAAATTACACATATCGAGACGAAAACCTTTAAGTGAACTTGTAATATCACTTTAACAATATTTAAAATTTTTATGAAAACGTCATACTTACATTTAGAGCAGGTAACGGTGCACTTTTTGCCTTACTTTTTTCTTCCTCTTCATCTGAAGTAATTGAACACTGAAGATTGCAAAAACTATATTTAATCTGAAAACCAAAAATACTACGTGTCATTACTTTTTTTAACGTTCCTATACATACAATTTGATTTCTTCTGTAGGCCAAACTCATCTTGGTGAGGTTTTTCCACACATCTCTGTTCCAATTACATAAGCCTACTTTTCCCAGCTCACCATTAGGAGAAGCTTCTAAATTATCTTATCTTTTTGTGAAAAGTTGGGAATATAAAGAGCATGCCTCTTTAGACACAATTTTGATAATCAATAAAAAATTCTTACTGTTTTCTTTAAATAAAAATCTTAAAGTGTCTCTTACACATTAGTTATCTGTTATCTATAAGTAGTTATAATACGGATTGCACTATCCAAAGCAAAATAAACAATGCCTATAAGAATTCATGTCCTATGAGGATGGTCCAACACGATCAGACGACTACCGCATGGTGGTGTCACGAGTTGGATCATCTCAGGAAGATCGAAAGGAAATCTTTTAATAAGGCAAGAACCACAAAACTCAAAAAGGACTGGGATACTTACAAATCTCACCTCAGAGAATACAAAAAAATCGTCAGACAAAAACAGAGAGATGCATGGAGATCATACTGCGAAGAAATCGAGGATTTCCCGCAGGCAGCGAGGCTTCAAGAAGCTCTCTCAAAAGATCCACACCGAAGCATTGGTGCGCTAATCAAAGAGGATGGCAAGAAAACTTCCAAACTCGAAGATATCATCAAACTTCTGCTGTTAACACACTTCTCTGACTCGCTCATCACAGACATGGCGGACTGGGCAGAGGAAAAATACAATCCATCTGTCTATGATTGGAAAACTGCCAAACACTTTGTAGGCGATGAAAAAATTAGATGGTAAATATCCAGCTTTTCTCCATTTAAATCGCCAGGATCTGACGGTATCTATCCGGCCTTACTTCAGTGTGGTCTGGAAGAACTCACGCCGCACTTGGTGGGTATATTCAGATCCTTGATGGCTCTGAGGTATATCCCCCAAATCTGGAAGGATGGATTACACTGTCCCAAAAACATATCGACCAATTAGTCTGACATCGTTTTCCATGAAGACATTGAAAAGGTTATGCGAAATCTACATAAAGGATGCGGTGATTACAACAACACCACTACACCCAAACCAACATGCATATACCCCAGGCAGATCTACTTATTCAGCCCTCCATCTAGTTGCTGGCCATATAGAAAAATCCCTGGACAATAAGGAGTCCCCCTTGGGTGTTTTCATAGACATAGAAGGCGCTTTTGATAAAACCACCTTCCCAAAGATAATACACTCACTAACCAACAGGAATGTTCCACAAATGATTAGTGGGTGGATACATAACATGCTTTCAAAACGAGCAGTAAACATAAGTGTAGAAGATGTGAATATAAGAGGCTTGGTTGCGAAGGGATGTCCACAGGCTGGGGTGCTATCACCTTTACTGTGAAATATGGTCCTCGACATCCTCATCAGCCGCCTCAATAATGACAGTCACTACATGATAGCATATGCAGATGACCTGGTCATTCTGCAAACAAGGAATTTTGAGAACATACTCTGCGAAAGAATGCAAGTAGCTCTAAAACTAATAGAACAGTGGTGCAAGGACTATTCACTGTCTATCAATCCTAAGAAGACAAAAATGGTCCTTTTCCCAAAGAAAAGGTTGAAAATGGAATTAGAACCTCCAGAACTCCTAAACACAAAACTAAACTTTGCAACAGAGGTCTTACCTCTTACAGCAAGTTAACATGGAACTCGCATTTAGAAAATAAAGTTAAAAGAGCATGGGCTTACACGGCTATCATAAGACCTATGCTAACATACGGTGCAGTTGTCTGCATACCGAAAACCCAAAAATTAAGAGCTATCCGTAAACTAGAACAAATTCAAAGAACAGCATGTCTCAACATAACAGGAGCCATAAAAACAACACCGATTAGAGCCATGGAAGTTATTCTTAGTCTCACTTCCCTTGATATTTACATCAAGGAAGTTGCTCTGACGACAATGACACGCCTCCACACGGTCGAAATAGAACCTCAAGCAAACATGGACTCAATCTCACCGAAATATATCTTTCATAAGCCATATAAAGTTATAATAGAACAAATAGAACAACCGGAAGTAGCAGGTATGATTCATATCTACACCGACGGTTCTAAAACAAAACAAGGCTCAGGATGTGGAATATACTCCATATTATTAAACCTAAACATAAAATGGCTGTGAGCAATAGTGCCAGTGTAGTTCAAACAGAGCTAACGGGGATTCTCATAGCAGCAAAAGAAATAACCAGAAACAATATCACTGGAAGGAACATGCTCATCTATACAGATAGCAGACAAGCACTACTCACTCTGAACAGACCACGAATGTATTCAGGGTTAGTACTAGAATGTCACGAAGCTTTGGTCGAAGTATCCATCAACAACGTGGTCACTTTAAGATGCGCCACATCGAAAGGTAACCGTCTTGCTGATTCACTAGCCAAGAAAGCAGCCAACCAAATACTTTTTGGACCTGGTCCTTCTATTGGCCTGACAAAATCGGTAGTGACAGACCTAATCAAAGAACATTCCCTTGTGAAATTCAAGGAAATATGGGATGAAACAAGAAACTGCAGAGTTGCCAGGGAGCTCTTAAGTTATCCTGACAACACTGCAGCAAACAAATACTTGACTATGACTAGACATAATCTGCGCCTAGTCACAGGCATTCTGACTGGTCATTGCCGAGTACGAAAGCATCTCCATATCATGGGGCCGTTAGAATCCGCCCTCTGCAGAGGGTGCGAACAAGAAGATGAGACCATCGAACATATCCTTTACGATTGCTCAACGTTCTCATTTATTAGAAGATTTGTGTTCGGCGAGTATCGGCTAACACCGGCCGATAAAAGAGAAGCGCCTCTTGGCGACGTTGTTAACTACATTAAATCTGTAGGCTGGCTCACGAGCTAGGAGGTGCTCTATCTTCTCAGGAGGATGCACAATGGGCCTAATGAGGCCTAAGTACCGTGGGATAACCCACCCTCCACACGTTACAGATACAGACAAAACACGGATTGCTCAAAGGGTATCGTTCCATCTTCTTCTATGAAAATATTGACAATAATCACCATAATCTCGTCATTGAAAGAGTATTTCTTGCTTCTTTCAACCTTTCGTACTCTCTGATATTACCATACTCCGTTTTGAGTTAAAATGCAGAATGTTAGGCTTATTTAAGAATACCGTAAAGTACCTAGTTTCGGGATATAGTGCGATACGGTAAGCGTCCCCTCCAATTCTTTTTCGAACCTCGTTGTTGTTTCTCACTCCGAAGCATTGTGGGTGGATTTGTCGCAATATTTCCCTAAACTAGGATTACCACACTCATCACCTAGCGGTCATCCATCAAAGATGTGATCGAGACTTTACGGCTGCCAGTGAGTGCGCGAAAAGTGACACTCGCAAACAACCTCGTAGATGTTTCATAGTAAGTGTACTTATGTTTAGAGCATTTCTTAAACGAAGTTTTCAGATGAATATTAAGTTATTAACTTTGTTACCATTAATATCTTCACAGCTCTGGTATGGTTCTGCAAAGGCAATCCAAAGATCGTTCAAAAGAGGTATCGCTCGACCCCCTTTGCAATTTAATTTTTTTTAAGGGGGTGACTATGTAGGGTAGAGGGGTGACGTTACGTATACAAGTAATATGGTAAAATGTGCCCACTTGAGATCAAGGTCTACGTATTTTACCACTTTTTTAGAAAGTTATTTAGAGTGGGTACTTTTCGTTGGTACACTCTGTATAAAATGCGATTATAAAGGCTAACAAAAAAAAGCTACGGAATAAAAGAAGGAAAAGAAATGCCGCGTGAAAAACTTGGAACGGATTTGAACTTACCATCGAATGATTTTTCCGAATCTAGTCACAACTGGATCTATCCTATTTTGTTATTTTGATTTATCCGCTTTTGACGTACGTTAAATTTTAATGTGGATTTGTATACAGAGCGGTAGACGAGCTGATTGAAATTGCAACGTCATCAAAAACAGCAAAAATTTAAGAATGGGCCTTGTCTGGTTTTGAATGTAGAAGTATATCTTTTTTTGTTAAATTGACGTTTATTTAATGTTTTTTTTTTAATAGAAATAACGCTAATCAGATGACAAATATTTCAATGTATATTAATTACACAAATGTAGCTTATGTGGCGCTCACTATAAAATAGAGATGAAAATACGATATTATTATTATTATTATTCATATTTAAAAACCACCAATTTCAATTTATTTTATCATAAACCTCCAAAAATGGCTCAAATTGTAATCAAAAATATACTATACTTTTAAATATAATTAAAAATCACTCATTATGCAACTATTTGTTATCACTTTAAAAATTATTCACGTTTTTGTAATATGAATCCCAAAAAAAACTAGTTATAGTATATTGACACATGTTTTTAAAAATTCCATGATTTCCGAAAACTATCTATAACTAAAATAAATTCTAATTAAATAGAAAAACAACTTACATAAAATGATTTAGAGTCTTTCTTGCAATTCGCTTTCGTGATACATTTGTCTTGGACCGCTTCAAATACTCGTGGCATAGATGCAATGAGAGCCAACGTGACGCACGGATGTTTACTGGATTTTAGGTTCAATATTTCATTAGCTCTGAAACAGTAAGAACGATTTGAGTTAGTTAGTTTTTAAAGACGCAATTACTATAATAATATGGAATAAAGACGCTTTATACATTACACAGTATATCTGAAAAAAAAATTTGCAACAAATTTATTAATAATTATACAAAAACAATATTCTTCATAAAAAAGTTCTGCATCACATAAATGAATAATCAAGAATTAAATTGATAAAATATTTAATGGTTATATAGGGAGAAAAAACAATATTGAGCTGGTCTAAAAAATAAAGTGCTTTTAAATTTAATTACAAAAAGGCATTTGAAAATGTATATAAGAATTTAAAATACATTTTAGGCAAAAAAATGATTTTCCCCATATATTAATAAATATTTTACCAATGATAATGGGCAGATGAATAAGAAATTGCTCTACCCCCAATAAGGATAAGTTCTATACCAGCTGAAAGATCTTCTTAAGGAAAACATTTCTTTTCGTTACAACCCATCTTAATTACTTGTCCGTTTTGAATTATATCATCCTAAATGTAACTACATGATTGCACGATAGGCCAGTGCTTATATTCTGTTATTGTAGTGCTTATTATAGGCAAATAATATTAATTATTATTTCTTAGTAATATAAAAATATTTATCCGGGTATATCATAAGATGCAGTCGAGGAATTTATCCGCCAGGTGTACCCCTTACTAAAGGACCTTTACGTGTTGGTTGCACGACCCCACGTTTGCTCTCCAAAGGACCGGGGCCAATGGTTCAAGACCGAGGTAATGGACAAACATAATAAAAAAATCATAAATCTTCAAATACATTAGAACGAATATAAAGTCCTTTGTAACACATACAGGCTGGGGCTGACTCGCGTATCGGGGATAACACTAATGATTTGTAGTGCGCATGTCGTACGCGTTTTATTTGTACATCGGTCTCCTTTTGACAGAGTAGGTGAGCTATGTCCAGGCCGTTGACACGGAAGAGCTAAAGATTCAACGCTCTCCTTTTTTTTATTTTTTATTTCTTGACATTTTTCTCAAGATCTTGAGAAAAATCTCATGATCTTGAGAAAAAAATCTCAAGATCTTGAGAAAAAAACTCAAGATCTTGGCAAAAAAACTCAAAATCCTTGAAGTTGTGCTGATTGTTCTAGTTGTTCTTCAATAAAAAAATACTACATCTTCTAGAAATGAAAATTTCTTACGTCTGAATAAGTTTAATTATTGCATCTTCCTCTTCAAAGTCGATAAACTCATGTTGATGTTAAGTCGTAGTTGTTGATACGCTATTATTTCACTGTGTTTTAATCCCAACATAAAATAATAGCTAATTATTAAATCTTCCATAGTTAAATTGTAAAATGATCTAATGTAATCCTTATTAGCAACTAATTAAAAAAAACTTAAAAGTCGCAATCTTCGGAAACTATTTTTCTTTCTATGACTTTTCTTGTATCTGAAAAGAGTAATAAGATCTTGGGAAAAAATTGAAATCTTGAGAAATATATTCAAGATCTTGTCAAAAAGAGTCCAGATTTTGAGGTTTTTCCTCAAGATCTTGAGTGTTTTTCTCAAGATCTTGAGTGTTTTTCTCAAGATCTTGAGAAAAAATGTTAAGAAAATGAAAATAAAAAAGAGAGCGTTGACACTTTAGCTCTTCCGTACGTTGGTGTTTATGCCGGTCGGTGTAGCCAGGTATGGATTTAAATTTTGTGGAGGCGGCGAAGCCGCCACCCTAAGAAAAATCGTTGCTTCGTCTTCTTGTTGTCACGGCAATATTATTATTTGTTCATGTATGCGAAATTTGCTTCTAAGGTTTATAAAATACTACTGCTATTTACGGCGTAAATGAAAACAAACAAGACGCATTCACACAAACACCTCCCACCACAGCAATTACAAATCATTAGTGTTGTCCCCGATACGCGAGTCCTCCTATGCACGTTGGACCAGGCTAACACATGATTTTACAGAAAAATAAATATCTGTTGCAGCTTATATTCAAAAATATTTTGGGATTCATAGTGTGCTTCAAAAAGTTTCTATCTAAAAAGTATTAACATTGGAAAAATCTAAACATTACAACCATTTTAAATACTTAGTACAATATAAAATCAATATAAAATGAAAAAAATAAGTAGAAGGCATTTCTTATGCAAGCTAGTAGTGCTTTCATGAAAAATGCCTTTCAGCTAAACCAAAGTTAGATTATATCAACTATAACTTGCAACTATGCATTTTTTCAATTCAAGATTTGAGTTTTTGTTTAGTTGTTACCATGAAAATTGTCCCCATGGCAACAGTCTCTCCGCAACTGATTTAAGCTACACTATAGTGAAATTAAATCATCTATAACCATCTATATTATGATAAGTATCCCTCTGGCAATAGTTTATCTGTAACTGATTTCAGCTAAATTAAATCATCTATAACTTGATAACTACGCGTTTACTCAACACATGATTTGGGTTTTTGTTTAGTCGTTACCATCCCTATGGCAACAGTTTCCACATAACTGATTTCAGTTAAACTAAAGTTTAATTAAATCTTATAACTTAGTAACTACGTGTTTCTTCACCATGGGATTTGTATTTTCGTTTAATCGTAAACCATAAGCGTGAGGGGGGAGAAGAATGTATGTCAGAATCCACTAGCAAAGAACTTTCAGAGTTGAAAATCCTGTATTTTGTCACATGCACTATGATCTGTCTCGGAACTGTTAGATAATTAAAAGAAGTCATAATAAAAATAAATGTTTTTCTTATCTTTCATTGGGCATATTGGCATATTGAGGGGTGGGGCAAAACTGACAATTCGCCTTTGACTCTTGTTTATTGATTTCTATGTGATGCAGAACTTTTTGTAAAGAATAATATTTCTTTTTTATAATATTTGCTCATTTGTTGTCAACTTTTTCAGATTTTGTGTAGTTAACCGACTGAAATTGTTTGTTGGGTAATACCTTAAACAGACAATTTAAGTAGGTTAACTATTATGGTAGGCACCTAATCAGCTACATTTTCAGCCAATAGGTTGAATAATACAGGTTTAATTACCTGTATAAAACTATCTGCCTTAGTCTAAACAGCTAGAAAAGGAGAAGTGCTTCTTCAGCATTTAAATAGCTTGGGTTTAGAGACTTTGTAGACAAAAGAATCGCTTTTTTAACTTACATACAGACTCATTTTCAACATAGCAATCAGAATTTTTATGTTTCATTTACATATAATAAAACTTTTCAATTTTTTCCAACAACCAACCTAGGTATTCAAATATTTGTTCCTACAAATACTCTATTTAAAGATTTTTTTTATGTCTTTCCTGGATTCGAACTCATGACATCACTCACTCTTGATCCACAAGTACGCACCTTAACCTACTAGCTCACCTAAAAACCTGACAAATTACTTATATTTGACGGTACCACTAAATATAACGTTTGTGTTCTCAATTTTCGCGATATTTCATAACATTCTGAATCATGTATTAAAAACTTTGCTAGATTTTATTTTAATTATTTCTTTTATCACAAACAGCTCGTTAGGGTTATTTTAGGGTTTACAAATATCAAACAAAAAATGGTAAATTTTCAAAATTTGTATTTGACAAAAGTTGTTTGTTTTAATGTGCTAAATACATGGTTAAAATTATGGCACTTTTTTCTGTAATTCATTGAACTCCATCCCTTTTTTAAAAGTCGTCAAGAAAATAATTGTATGCAGGTAATTTATAGGATTGATAGAAGGGCGAACCATTTGGTACCAAAAATTTTTGCCTGGGCTCGTGGTAAAATTTTTCCTATTTATATACTATCTTCTGGCCGTAGAGTACAATGTCAAATAAAATTAAATACAATTTAAAACTAACAATGGCTAATATAATATAAAGTAAACGGAAAGAAGAAGAAATGTCAAGAAGACGAAAGTGCTCATTAATCAGAATCGGTTTAACAAAAATTTGTTTCATATCAATAAATATGGATTTTTAAATTGTCAGTAACAATTATGGTCGATCAAACCACTGGACGAAAAATAATTGAAAACAACTATAGGTTTCCATAATACTATATTTATTTATACCGTTATAAATTTACAATTAACCCCTGTATGCTCTCTGTTTTCTTTTTCTACGAAGTGAAATAAAATTAATTTCTTTTTAACGTGATGAATGTATATTGTGTACGTGCGTGATAAAATTAATCTTTGTATCTTATCCGCGGCATGTATTTTAACTAGAAACGTAACCTACAAAAATCTTTTCGCCTTTAAGAAAAAGTGGATATTACTAGATATCTTTATTTTAATAAATAATGTACGGATTATTTTTTTTTCAAATGCTTTAATCATAATTTACATTTTTGTTCTTCATATCCAATACATTTTTACCGTGTAAGGCTGGCGGAATTGAATATTGTTTATTTTCTTTCTCCATTTATTTATCTTTCCTTTTTTTATTTTAGGATATTTTTCAAATTGGGATGGTCAAAGTACCATATTGGAAATCGCAGCCATGGTTTCCAGTATTTACGAAATTACTTGTTGGTGACTATCTCTGAAGGCCAAAATTAAATAAAAAAAAAATGTCCTGTGGCCGAAAGCCTTACTTAGAACTTTTATTAAGAGATCGTATGAAGCTAGAGGATTGATGGAAACTTCGATTGTGTATTAATTTCCTCGTTAAGTAAAAACACTGTCTTAATATAAAATATGGTGGATGTTCTTTAAAATTAATAATATAGAATTAATAACTCCTTCGGTACACAATATTGAATTATTAAATGAACAATTAAGTAGTTGCTCATAAATAAAAACTATAAATGAAATATTATAAATTACGATTTTGCTATTATATACTTAGATTTACCTGATAAGATAATTATTAATAAATAATGGTTTCTTAATTTTTTTGTTTAAACATATACCATTATTGATAGTTTTTCCGTAATAAGGAATAAAATTTTCGATTCGTTGTTGTAGTTCATTGTTTTTAAAATATCTCTTTTAAAATATAGTTTAAAG